AGTTAGTTGTAGATAAGAATAATATATTTCTAATGAATACCAGTTTGATCTGCTAAATTATATTTAAAACCTTGAAATTCAGTTAATGTGTGTTAATGGAATTTGTTAAATCATTATAAACTGTATGCGTTAAAATCTAAATTCATTATAAACTGTATGTGTTAAAATTAGCCGTGTGTTTTGTGATCTTGCGGATCAAATTTATTCAAAATATGGTAGATTAGATTTTATTGTTTTAATTATATAGATTTAAGTTACTAAATGCTGCGATTTTTATGTTATGATTGGTTGTTACTGATATTTTAAATATATGATAATACTTAGATTGCTCAGCTATTTACAATCTACTATATTTGTTTTTTAATTTAACAACTTACTGAGATTTTATTTTATTTGAGTAAAGTTTAGTTTTTATTTATTTATTTAATTATATATATATATATAATTATAATTATTTCTTTGATTATTCTATGAATAGATTACAACTTTAGTTAAGATTGCACAAACATAATTTTATGCTAAGAAGGATATTTTTTTATTTAAGAAAAAAATTTTGACTTACAAAACAAATTTGTTAAATTCGTTATGGTTCGGAATCGGTTGCGATATCATAATCGTAGAAAAAATTTATTCGAAATGCTACAATCGGTATATTCTAAAGAATAAGCATAAATAAAACAAAATATGCAGAGGATTACTCGTAATTATGTATTACTAAACATATATGTCGATTCATCATTTTAATGAGATAGTAATGTTTGTATGTACATTAATTTATATAATCGTATGCACATTTATTTCGTTATATGGAGGGAAGGATATGTTTGATTCAAAACGTACATGACAAATATATATGTGTTATATCATGCAAATATATAGGTAATGTTATCTCGAAAGCATATATAAATAAATGAAAAGGGTTATATTAATTAAATATGTGATTTTTTCTGCATAAATAAAAGAAAAACAGAAAACAGAATTAAATAAAAAGTATTGTTTTAGAATATTCTATCGGGTCAAACCCACTTGCATCGGGTAAAACTGATTTAATACAAAGCATAGCTTAAAAAATTATGCGGTGGCATTGTTCTGTAAATATTGTTGAAACAGAATGGCGCCTGAAAAAAGGGTCTTCTGTTTTAATAGTATAGATTTGCATCAACGTTAATGGATTCTTCTTTTTCTTTTTTTCCTTGTCATATGGTTTCTTCTCTGTTTAGTCTGCTTAGTTTGTTTCCTAAATATAATTTCTGAATTTAATACTCGTTGAAAAAGAAGCCTCAGTGTCTACCACCATCTCCATTTCGTCAAAAACTATATTTATGTGTCTTAAAGTTGACCATTAAGGTTTAAAATTAGACTATGGTTGTGAAATTTGATTTAATTTAAGTCTTTGTCTTTAAACCTCGTGCACCCTCGCCTATTTTCTCATAAACTACATTTATTTTTTCGTTTAGTGTTACTGCTATTTATGATAACAAACAAGGTGATTATCCACACACTACCTTTAGTTCAAAATTACATACGTTTCATAATTGTGTACTTCATTTTGTAGAATGATTCATTGTCTCTAAGAAAACAAACGTATACTGTATTAAGTAGAAGATGTCAAGTGTTATCCTTGGCAAAAAAAAAGTGTGAAGTGTTATAACTTAACTTGGTAGTCTCGCCCGATTATAATGGCATCACAGCTCCAGCAATTGATTTAAGTTTTAAAATTTTCTCCACCTGCAAAGTAAAACTTTCTAATCACGACAAACTTTGAAACTAGTATGTTATTTTGGTTGACTTGTAGTCATTATTTTTCTTACATGCTGTCAGTTAATGGACGTTACAAAAAAACGGTCTCACTTAATGGATTAGCACATTTTCACCAGAAACTGTTCAAGATTTGCATCAACGTTACATTTTTCAAGACATTGTTACTTTTTCTTTTCTTTGCTTTTCTCAAAAAAAAAAGATTTGCATCAACGTTAAAAGACTATATTATTTGAAATATATTTTCCAAGTATGTCTTCTCTGTTTGTTTTTAAGTAATATGAATACGACGTTGGGGTAATTTTCCAATGAATGGAGCTAAACATATTTTATAAAAGAAAAAAAAAACGAGAAATCCTAAAAAGTTTTTGATTTATGAGTTTTCGATTTGAACTTTTAATGCCTTTTTAATTTCGATAAACTTTGATGGTCTAGTCTATGATCACAAATGACAAAAAGATCCACATGCAAACATATAACATTGTTGGGTAACATTACAACTAGGGACATGTGATTCTGTAGATGGACACTTGATCTTACAATATGATTCATCTCAAACCTGACCAAGACTGGAACGTGAACATCTAAGTAGTAAGTACTAATACTTAGTCACATTTGCGCAAGGACAACTAATGTAAAAAGCAAAGATCAAAAATAGACCCTATAGTTTGTTTATAAGTAATCCAACTAACACAGTTAAAAGAGATATGAAAAGTCAATGAGCTCTGTTATTTGATACCTCGCCTCAATGGCCAGATAGTGAGGCAGCATTCTTTATCAGAAGCTTTCTTCGAGGTCAATAACATACCATATTTCTAGGCATTTATGAGTTGCAACATAGACAACCAATGTTCAGTATGAATCAAACTATAAAAATAAATAATTAGATAATTTTGTCACAACTCTTAAATGGTTCAAGAGGATAATATGATTGCTCAAATTACCAGCCCATGATAAAATAAACTCGATAAATTTGTCCTCATGTATGATTTATTCTGCTCCTACCCTAAACCACGATATGTAACATACTAACATGATTCCAAGAACCCTATGCAGACAAGCTTCATAGTTCCCAGATATTTGGATAGGAAATAAGCTTCAAAAATCATTCTCTTATTGCAAATATATAGTACGTTGAGTTCTCTACCATAGTCTCATAATTATTTTATTATGATGGCTTGTAGGTTACTTCTCGTTCTCTCCTTTTAGATTTTGTACCATGAGACCAAAAACAGAACCTCGAAAATTAGTTCTTACAGAATAGAGATTTATAGATTATACCAGCTGGACAAGCGGGATATTTCTCCAACATCGTAGTGTAGCTCAGGAAACCATCGGCCCATTAAGAGACGAGTTTTGCTAACTGGCCCACTAAGAAGAACTACTCTCTATGTCTTCTGTTTTTTTTCTGGTTCATATTCAAACTTGCGTTCTTGTTAATTTGAGTCAACGTCCTGCATTTACAGAGTTATGAACTTATTGATTACTAATCAATAGCATTTGTAAGTTTGCAAATTGCAACGTTAACTTCTTTAATTGTTTTCACCGCGAACGACAAAACATGGAGCTATGAATCAGTTCCATTTTCAAATCAATGTAACAACTTTTTTTTTGTTTTTCTATTGAATCATATACTACTACTACACAGAATTTATTTAGAAGGTATTCTATTTATGAAATTTAAAAGTTCATGTCCCTAATGTCCAATGTCGGTGTCATCTCTCACGTCAAAGCCATCAATCCAATGGGGTCACCACTCTCACTCTGGTTTCATCTTTACTTGCAGTTTACAACTCTCTCCAAATCAAACAAGACATTTCCACTAATACAATCATAGATACTAAATAAATCTATTACACTGAGTTTTTTTAATTATTCAACATCTAAATAAAAGTTTCAAATGCAAGCGTATAATTAATTCCGTAAAGAGTTATAGAATTAGTAGAAACAAAACAATAATACTTAGATGTAATAATTATGTTTTGGCCTTTTATTGTCACTCTTGAAATTACAATAAATTTAACAAAATTATTTTAAAATAATAACTGGACAATTCTGTCCTTTATTTTTCCACAGTTTAAAAGGAGAATCTCATCACAGAATAAACTAAAAGCCAAAAACAAAAAACAAAACAGAGCTCCTCTCCAGATCACATTGTCTCTCTCTCTCTCTCTCTCTCACTTCTTGTTCCTCATGGATCCTTCAAGAACCAGAACTCTAACCAGACGTTCTGATCCGATCAACTTCCCGGCGAAGACAAACACTTCATCCCGGCGATCTTTATCTTCTTCTTCTTCCTTCTCATCTTTCTCCTCTTGCTCCTCTAGCTCCCTCGTGTTTCAAGGCGACTCTCCTTTAAATTCTCCAGCGACTCCTCTTCGTCTCCTCGGTGTTCCATTCTCATGGGAACAGCTTCCGGGAAAACCCAAAGACTACTCTCATAGACTCAACCACCGTCTAAATAAAGAATCTTCAGTTACACTACCCCTTCCTCCTCACCGGAGCTCACATTTTCCGGGCACGGGAAAAAATAAAAAATCTAACAGTTTAAGTAAGAAGAACAGCTTCCCGGTGACTAAGAAAGATCCCTTTGCGACTGCGTTGTTGGAGTGTTCCAAAGACGATGATGATGATGGAGAAGATGAGAGGTTCCGAGGAAACTCCGGTGGATCAAGCAAGGCATTAACAAAGAGCAGCATCGGCGACAGGTTCGGGTTAGTGAGTCTTTACGGTTCTTGTCGGAGAACTTGTACTGTTTCAGAGTCCATTGTTTATCTCCCAAAAACGAGAAAAGCTGCTTCTTATGATCATCTGCTAACACGCCGTCGCCGTTGATTCGTTTCCTTTCACGATTTACTATATATATATTTTATCTTTTGATTTTTGTAATAGTTTTTATATGATTTTATCTGAATGTAACATATTATGGTACATGATTATTTCAGAGTGACTTATTCTCAAAATAATTTTAAAAAACTTCTTCGAGGTATTTACTTACATATGTGTGATAACTTTTTTAAAAAGTATATTTTATTTTTTTCTGTAGTTGTGTTGAATTTGGTGGAACCAGTACTGAAGGTTCTGTGATCTCTCTAGCTTGTTTCCCATCCCATGCACGCTAAGCTATACATGCAAGTACTTGCTAGAAAAAAAATTGATTAATTTGCTATATGCTTCAAAACATGGACGAATCTATATGTACTCATGATATTTCGTTTTGTTTGTTTCACCATTTAGAAAATGCTGATAGTTTAGCGTGCCTAGTAAATCGAGTTGGATTATATAATGGTAAGATATACTGTATTCTCTAAATACTTTGTTTTTTTTCTCTAAGTCTCTAAAGAAATGAATCTTTCATTGTTGGTGTTGGGACAAGGCAAAACAAATAAACAAAATAAGAAAGGGGTTGGTGATCATCCATACATGAATGTCTTGTACACTCTCTATTCTATTATATAACCACGAGCAGATAATTGTGTAATATCTTAGCTATAAAAATATATATTTTTAAAAGAAGTAGGAGAATGATATAATAATTTCCAAGACCGGGTACTTTCAAATAACTTGTCAAAAATATGGAAAAATAAATCTCTGATCTACGTAAGTCACAGAGATAAAATAATTTAACTTTTGCCTTAAAATTGTAAAAAAAAATAAAAAGTTTCTCATACTCAATCACTACACGGCAATAATATTACATTACACCAAATATATTATATGTTTTAAAATGAATATATATATATATATATGAAAATATGGTTCTTACAATTATAATTAAACATTTGTATGTACCGTATAAATTTATGAAGAGTTTTTCATAATGAATATCCACAAATCCAATATACAAAAATGAAATACAATTATATGTATGATACTGTTTTCGTTATTTTTAAGTTTGGAATTCGAGCACTGAAAGATGTTAATGGGGAACCAGAGAACCTAAATTTACGTGGGATATAAATGATGACCAACTTCTATTAATACTAGCTAGTAGAAACAATTTAATATGAACATTGCTTTTCATCATTGTCTGCCTTGTATTCGCGCGTATACTTTTACATTATTGACTTATGTCCAGATATTATAACACTAGCTTTTATATAAAAAGCATAGAAGTGTATCAAGAGCACATTTTAATTTGCCTTCTCGAAAATTTGATGAAAACCATCACATAAGTAGGTTTATTTATGAACTTACTCGTTTCAGATTTTAAAATTTACATTAAGCAGTGATCTTTTTTTTTGTAACACCATCACATTAAGCAGTGATTACTTTCACTTTTGTATATGTAAATATCGAGCACTTTCTTATATGCGTGAGCGTGGGCATGTGCATAATTAAAACTAATAAATGAATATGGGATGAGACAAGATGGACCCCTATAAGTGATTGAGATAGCTTGAGACTAAAGACACCATTATCAGCATCTACCATTATGTCCTCTTCGCACATGGAAAACAATATACTATATATGCAATGTAGATCAAGCATACGAATCGGAGTCCAATTAATATGTTAATGCATCAAATCCGAAAAGCACAGATTTAATCAAGAGTCTTGAGCAACAAACAAGCTGATATTATTCTGTCACTAAGGAGTATTTTTTACAACACAAGCCGGTGATTATTTATAATAACGTTAGTAATCTTGAATTGTATGAAAATGTCTCTAGTCTCGATGGTGATAATAAAGAAGCTAGGTCGGTTAACAATACAATACTTATACTGTTTCATAAGATTAATTTCTATATGTTTTTATTTTGTTTCATACGGATTCGAAATTAGATGATAATACATGACTGGACTAACTCAAATCACTAGTTTGTATGTATAAGATAAACCACTAGACCACATTTTAGTGTCTATTTGTAATACTTAATTTATTGTCATTTTATCAAAAATCTATTAGATGTTACGTAGTCAGTATAAGAAAACGATACAAAATGTGTTCTTAGAAAAATACTAATATATATATTATATTATGTATGAAATGGCATGAATATACTATATGATACTGAGATGCAAGATAAATGTATGTATTAATGCTACGTAGTGATCAGTATAAGAAAACGATACAAATGTTTTCTTAGAAAAATACTAATATATATTTTATATTATGTATGAAATGGAATGAATATACTATATGATACTGAGATGCAAGATAAATGTATGTATTAATGCTTTGTTGTTTTCTTTCCTTTTGAGCCACAAACGTAAGCATCACGATTTAATACCATCATGATTAAAAGATTGTCCGATAACCATTAACCATGTGAATGGATCAAGTCCCACGTTAAGCGTATAACACATGTCAACGCATATAAATACGTAGAGAGAGTGTAAACCCCAAGAGTGTCGAACCAAAAGCCATATATATAGTCTTAAGGGATTCTTTATCGATTACATCACACAAAAAGGTTTGAAAAAGTTATAATTAGTAACTTGTGAGAATGCTGTTAAAAGTATCGATAGACATTGGAGGAATCCAAATCTCCATTAGTTTGTTAATTAGTCACGAACACGGTAACGGAACTTAAATAGTCGACTAGAAATTAGTTTTACAAATATATTTTCTTCTAAAATTACTAGAAACTGGACCAATCATACACGCCAGCAAACACAATATCAACCTATCCATACAAAGGTACTAATCATTTTACATAGTCAAAGACTCAAGAACATGGCCATAAGAGCAATAGATCCACCTGGCACAAATTCACATCAGTATTGATCAAACTGATTACAAAGCGTATCACAGAAACCAAACTACAAAGATTTATTGTGTCGCGTGGGGAACAAAAGAAGAGGAATCAAAATTTACACTAGACAACAAGAACGATTAGCTTTTAATGGGCTTCTGTTTGTTTTTAGATGGGCTGTTTTGACACCCTATATACGTCAAATTTCAATTAAATTCTTGTACTTCACGGGCTTGGTTAAGGCCGAACTAAGAAAAGGCCCAACCAAAACGTCCAGTAGCGGTTAATTTTTGATAATTTGTTTCATTTTTTTCTAAATATAACATGGGGTTACTGGCATAACAAATCGGTAATGAATGTTTAGAAGTTTTATAAAATAATAATAAGTGAATTAATACATACTTTTATTCAAAGGGCTCACACTATTTAAACTCGTAATAGTGGCCAGTACTATCAAAACCAATAAGAAAAACCGAAGAAGCAAGTTAATTAGTCTGATTGGTGTATGGGCTTTGAGGGCTTTGTGGTTGTGTAAAGCCACTAAAGCCAAATATTTGCCAATCACTTTTTTTAGGCTTTAGAGATTTGTAAAGCCACTAAAGCCCACTTTTAAAAAAAAACTGTTTTTTGTTCATTTTTTTCTACAGCCACTTTTTGAGACTTTACAACACACTCTTTTTTTGTTGCTATGATAAAAAAACGTGATTTATTTTTATTTTTGACTTTTTGTTCATTTCTTACTAAAATAAAAGAAATAATAAGCATAATGATTAATAAATTCATTTTAATTAGTTAGTTTAAGTTTTACCAACAATAAAAAGTCACATCTTACTATTAATAGACTATTAATTTGTTGAAGACTAAAAATTATAAATAATTGAAAACATCTAGGATAGATTCAAAAAGTATAATAATTGAAAGAAAAATAAATACAATGATATATAAATTCATTTTCATTAGTTAGTTACATTTTACCATCAAGAAAAAATCATACCTTACTATTAATAGACTATTAATTTGTTAAAGACAATATATGGAAGGTGTTCGAGATGAGATTGCAAACAGCATATGGGCTAGAACCCGTTAATTTTTTAATATTTTTTTGTTTTATTTAATAAATTGTAATTTTATTTTAAATTTAATTTTGAATAATTTTTATTTATTTAATAAATTATTATCTTATTTTAAGTTTAATAAAATAATTTTGTTGATTACAATTTCAAATTTTTACAATAAAGAAATAAAATATATTGTTGATAAATTTGATTGATTTTCTGTTTNCGTTAATTTTTTAATATTTTTTTGTTTTATTTAATAAATTGTAATTTTATTTTAAATTTAATTTTGAATAATTTTTATTTATTTAATAAATTATTATCTTATTTTAAGTTTAATAAAATAATTTTGTTGATTACAATTTCAAATTTTTACAATAAAGAAATAAAATATATTGTTGATAAATTTGATTGATTTTCTGTTTATAAGCTACCCAATATATTTTATAAACTTGTATAAATAAAAAATAGGTAATACATTTTGAAAAATGAATTATAAACATATATTTATAACAGTCACAACTTCTAAAGCTTTGAGTACCAATCATGCTTTTAACTTTCTCTAAAGTAACAGTTACAGCCTTTAAAGCCAAAATCTCTACAGCCACAATTCTAAAGTCAAAGCCTAAAGCGAAAGTCATTACCAATCGGATATGTGTATTATGGGTTTTAATTTGTGGATACATTATTAAAACTAATAATGATATTTCTGATAGAATAGGGGACCATCATGCCCTGTTGTCTACAAGAATTAACAAACAGATAAAGAGTTATCCAGAGAGTTAGTTCAAAATTATAAAAGATGTATGAGTACAACCTTCCACATCTAGAGGTTGACTGTTTATTCAATAAGAAACAAAGGTAACACCTAACATGCACCCAGTACCAAGTAGATTATATAGTAATAATAATGCCGAGACAATTTTAATTTGTGTAACCTATAAAACAACTACGTATTTATTAGACCTTAAAACCATAGTGGTTTCAATCGGTTCATCTTTAGTTCAATTTATATTTAAAACAATTAATTATTCCCTGATTTTTAATGATACAAACAATATATTTGAAACAACTTTGATGATTTTCTATTTATTTTTTGGCAAGATGCATGTATCTTCAAATCTAGGAAGAAACCACACATTTGATATACTCTCTCAGTTTCTATTTAGTTATCATTTTTAGTTTTTATACATAGATTAAAAATATTTAATTTTACATATTTTCTAAAAAATATAATTATTTATAATCTAATCATATTTCAACCAATATAAAAAATATTACAATATATAAAATTAATAAATATTATATTAAAATTATAAAACAACACTTATTTTGAAATAAAAATTTATTGTACAACGATAATAAAATTGAAATGGAAAACGTATTTAATTTTATGTTTGGTCCACGATATACGTAATGCAAGTCTAAATCTGAAAATGATGCAGAGGTGACACAGAAATATTTAAGTAAACAATTGAAAATCAAAACGCAGAAGTAAATATTACGGTAAAAATTGCTTAATCATTCATCAATAAAGAAGCTTGGGGTTTACAAAAAAAAAAAAATTTGCATAAATAAAGAATGAGTGGTAATGGTAAACCAACGAACGAACCAATGGATCCACAAAAACAAAACCATGAGCACATCAATGATGAGTCACCCTGTAATAAAAATGTTTCAATCATTTATCCGATAGATGCGAATAATAATAAAAATGCCAAAATAAAACCTAACCGAACTCGAATTGGAGATTTCCAGATAATTATTACATCCGACAATTCCAGTCCTCTCTCTCTTTCTGTCTCTCTGTCCTCAAGAACCCTAAATAGTTTCCCAGTTTCTTCGTATTCAACGATCTGAGTCTCTCCCTCTCTCTTAAACTATAATCTTCCGACATGGTTTAGAGTCTCTGATATTAATGGAAGCTGACGTGTCAATCGTCTGAAAAAAAATCCCTTATCGCGATCAAATTTTTTTCCACCGTTTGTTTCAATCTGTGAAAGGAAGGAAGATGATGAATCGTGCTCTGCTCCTCCTCTTCCTACTCTTCTTCCACGTCATCACCCTCTCTTCTTTATCCTCAGCCAAACTCATTCTCATCAGGAACAACATCACTCGCTCTTTCGATGACATCGAAGCTAACTTCGGTCTGTTTTTACAATCTTTTATTGAATTGGGTCAACGCAGAATTGTTCAAAATGATTTAAAGTTTCTTCCTTTTTTGTTTTGGTGTTTTGGCAGCTCCTTCTGTTAAAGCTGCTGGTGAAATTGGATTGCTTTACGTGGCTGAGCCTCTTGACGCTTGCTCTAACTTGACGAACAAGCCAGAAGAACAGAGCTTGAATGATACTTCGAGCCCTTTTGTGTTGATCGTTAGAGGAGGTTGTAGTTTTGAAGATAAAGTCAGAAAAGCTCAAAAAGCTGGTTTCAAAGCTGCTATTATACATGACAATGAAGACCGTGGAATCTTGATAGCAAGTAATGATTTATTACAATTCTTTTTAGTTTTGTCTTTGTTGTTAATAACGTTTTTTTGTACAGTGGCAGGTAACTCGGGAGGGATCAAGATTCATGCGGTTTTTGTAACTAAAGAGACAGGAGATGTTTTAAAAGAGTTTGCTGGTTTGTCTGATACGAAAGTATGGTTGCTTCCTAGCTTCGAGAACTCTGCTTGCTCCATCATGGCGGTTTCATTCATCTCTTTACTCGCAATGTCTGCTGTTCTCGCCACTTGTTTCTTTGTCCGTAGGCATAGGATAAGAAGGAGAACTTCTCGGTCCTCTAGAGTCAGAGAGTTTCATGGTATGAGTCGTCGCTTGGTTAAAGCAATGCCGAGTCTTATCTTCAGTTCTGTGCACGAAGACAACACTACTGCTTTCACTTGTGCTATCTGTCTAGAAGACTACAACGTTGGAGAGAAGCTAAGGCTCTTACCTTGTCGTCACAGTGAGTACTTATAACTAATGCATATTTGTGTTTAGAAACCAAAGTATTGATTCGTTTTGTGTGTTTCAGAGTTTCACGCGGTGTGTGTTGACTCGTGGCTAACCTCATGGAGAACGTTCTGTCCTGTATGCAAACGCGACGCAAGAACCAGCAACGGAGAGCCACCAGCTTCAGAGAGCACACCGTTACTCTCCTCCGCCGCGTCTTCTTTCCGCTCTTCCTCTGCTCTCTCTTCATTCAGATCATCAGCAATGTTGATTGGTCCTTCCATGGGATCATTACCAACTTCAATCTCGTTCTCTCCAGCACACGCGAGCTCTTCTTACATCAGACAGTCTTTCAGGTCTTCCTCTCTCAGAAGATCTCCTCCAATACACATGAGTAGAAGCTCAATGGATCTTAGACACCAAGGAGCTTCTCCATCTCCGTCGCAGAGATCTTATATGGCTTCTCCACAGTCGTTTAATTACCCGACTTTGTCACCTCTCAACGCTAGGTACATGTCACCGTATAGGCCTAGTCCTATCAATGCTTCACCTGGATTAATCGGGTCGTCATCGAATCATCCGTTGAATCCTCTGCGTTACAGTGAATCAGCAGGGACTTTCTCTCCTTATGCTTCTGCAAACTCTCTGCCAGACTGTTGAAAAAAGTTCATTGAATCAGTTGGTATGGTTCAATGGACACATGAGATTTTATTTTATTTTTTTTTTGCATTTGAGTTTTAACTAAAGAGAGACACTGTGTGTGTTTGTGTATGTGTGTGTGTACACTGATGATATGCTTTTATAGTCTTTTGGTTGAGATGAACAATCTTTCGGTTTTAGGTTACACAAACTTGGTTCCATTGTAGAAATATGAGCTTTATGTATATATGATACACCTCTCTCATTGTTGTTTTGTTTCAAAGTAGGGTTTTTAACGGTGAAGTGGTTTAACATATTACACGAACTAAAGGTTTTGTTTCATTCATATGGTATCAAAAATCATTTTTTGACATTGAAATCTAGACGATTAGTTCTTGAACTATCTAGACAAATTACCAAAAAGATAAATATGCTATGATGAGATAAGTAACTAGAAAATCCTTTTGCAAATTACCAAAAAGATAAATATGCTATGATGAGATAAGTAACTAGAAAATCCTTTTGAGCATTTGCAGTGCATTTGCACTGTTATATATATAAAAGCAGAAATTTATATATTATGAAGTTGTGCAGACTCATAAGTCACAAACTATCAAATTTGACCAATCTTTACATAGAATTTGGTTACAAGTTACAACAATATGTATAGGCTGATGGGCTTTTACAAAATCATGAATAGTGATGTTAACATTGAGACCCACATTATTTAAACCATTCTATTTGGACTCTAAATCTATTTAGACACCTTTAAATATAAGGTCTGGTAGTGGACTACCTATTTAGATGAACAAATTTACACTAGCCTATTTAGACATATTTAAGTTATTATTGTTTTAAATATTTTATTGTTCTAGTTATATTATAAAACGATTTCATTAAATGTATATTTTTGAGGTTAAATATTCTTTCTTTTTGTTATGATGGTGATTTTACCCATATGCGCAATTTAAGGGCGCATAAAGAAAATGTATATGGTGGTGCATCCATTTGGATTCTTCAACTTTATATCTAAAACTGATTTTGATGGAACATAACAAATCAGCCTCTTACTGTTTATAGACGATTATTTGCTCAAACAAGTAACATAAAACAAAGAAACTTCATTAAAGTCAATTGTTGAATCTAATAAAAATTAACCAAAAATTAATAGTATTCAGTTATTATGTTTCACAATTTCAGCAAACACTCATAAAAGATTCAGTACATGGTAACCAATCGAAAACAATATAATGACCATTTTCCAAAAAGCAACCATTTTTTGTCATTAAGTTTTGCAAACATAACCAAAAAAATACCTGAAATATGTTTTATGAAACATTTGCATCTTATGATATTGAGCCTTCATTTTTGAAATATCTGTAGTCTTCTTAACATTTTTTTTTACATATCATCGATATTACTTACAATTTACTCAAATCTAATGTTAAAACATAGTCTAATACCACTGTAATTGTTTGTAATGCATCCATCAAGCTATTCTGCGAAAAATATGTTGTAAATAATCTAAATTTATCTGTTTATTTGCAGTCCGAGTGCAAAATAGTACAATCCATATTTGTTTGATAAGAAACCATGCATCATTTAACTTAGGTAAAATTGTCTTGAAGTTCGTTATCTCATTCTCGAGTTAGTGAAAAAAATTATGAATCACATTAATGTTATCTTCTTTTATTGACCAATAAATATCTAACAATGATTTATATCTCGCTATAAAAATATATTATTTGCTTATTTGTAGTAATATGCGATTAGCCGGTTAGTTCAATCTAATACTTTAAGATGTCAATGTGTATCTTTCATAACATATATCTCAAACAATTTCACAAGAACCTAAACTGTTTTGAATTTCTTTGACATATTTAGTTATTGTGTGAAACAATCAAAAATAAATTACTCAATGTGTAGCATGGAATAATCTGATGTAGAAACATTTAAACCAAAAAGATGGCGCTTTCTTATTCAACTTCACATCGATTCAGATAGTCAAACGAATATAAATCACACATACAATTTTTTTATGTGGACACCAAATCGTTAGAGGTGGTTTGACGACATATACTGCTTATTCATGGCTTATTCATGTGTGCATTTTGTTCAAATATCATTTGTTTGTCTTGTTTTTGTTATTGTTTGAGGTTTAATATTCCTTTTTTTTCATATGAGAGAAAATGACCAGTACCAGATCAATTTCAATTAGATAATTTGGATGAAGGTCTTGAAAACTATATTTTCTAGTTTCAGAAAATATCAAATTATTTTATACTTTTTCGATGAGTGAAATATTTTCTTTTGATTTTAAATTCTATTAATACTTTAGAATGACTCAAAAGTGAAATAAAATGAAAAAATAAATTGACAGGAAGCAAAAAATATGAAAAATATAAGTAAATCATGAGAAAAAAGCAAATTCATAACATGAAGCTTGTAATATAAGAAAATCTCACAAAAGTGTTGTAATATTTACCTAGACTTGCAATATTACTTCAAAAATATCACTTGCACATTCATTCTTTTGGACACAAGAGAAGAAGACTATCTATTTGATTAATTTAGTGACCCATTTCCTGAAGAAACGAAAATTTGGATGCGATACACACTATCTTTATGAAATCAGTGTTACTACAACCATACATACTGGACTGATTTAGTAAGGTTTGTGCGGAATAATTTTGTAGACAACCGTGAACTTTCTGACAATATCAAGGTTTGTTTTTTTTAAATATGAATCTCAAAACAATTTTACAAAATCTAATTTGAATTTCTTTGATATGTGTTAGGCTATTGTGGAACACAGTAAAACAAAAGTTGGTAAGTACTTTGTTAGGACTTTTTTCTACATATCATCCATATTTTTTATAGTACCTACAATTCAATATGTGGATTAGTTTAAAACATACAATAGTTTTTCAACTACAAAATTTAACATTCATATTATGTAAAATCTATCTAACCAATTACGAGTTTAAATTAAATCTTGAATGTTTTTGGCAACCGCACAATTTTTGTAAAGAGTCAACATTCGAACTCTAATACTAAAAACATATTCTAGTACTCTTTAGTGACTAAAATACTAAGTGTGTCACGCGATATAACTTCTAAATCACCTAGTCCAATTGATTATCCTTATAGTAACTCAAAACATCCAAGTGGAAAGATTTTCAATCTAGCTTTGGATCATCCTAGTACAATCTAATTGTTTTTTTTTACGTTTCTCACATTAATTCAAAGACTTCTTTATGTTTCAAATAGATCATGTAATATAGTATAATTCAAGTTATAAGAAGAAAGAAAAGACAACAAACATATACATACAAAATGTGAATGAAGCTTAAGATTTCCATTGTGTAAATCATCTTCAAGTAGAGAATCAAATAAATATATCATGTGGAGTTGGTGTATATGAAGTACCTGGAAGAAACTGTTGAAATCCTACCTCAATATTCTATCTAAAAATGTCATCAAATTAATCCTAAGTTCTTTAGCTTTTGGTGTCTAAATTTGTTTCACGCATCTACAATACATCACTATAAAAAAAAAAAAACTGAAACGTTAAACAAACTCATACATACATATATTTTTGTAAGGTTTTGCAGATTATCTTAGCAAAAAAAGGTTTTGCAGATTCATTTCACAAAAACTATCAAGTTTGACCAATTCTTACACAAAGTCAGCATGTGTATAGACACTGGTGGGCTTTTTACTCTACTAAATCCTATGCTTCATATCAAATGGGCCCAATATAGGCCCATCTTTCGTTACACTCACCCTAAACGACGTCGTATCAAGTATTCATCTTTTTGTAATTTGGTAACGGTGGAGGGACCCACTCTTCAGTTGAATGAAGCAAAGGCGTTCCACCTTTCGCCGGACTCACCTCTCCGGCGTCCCACAAACATGCCGATGAGACACCTCAACGCAATGGCTGCTCTACTAATGATGTTCTTCACTCTCCTCATCCTCTCCTTCACCGGCATTCTCGAATTCCCCTCAGCCTCCACTTCCCTTCCCAATCCCAAACTATCCGCTTCCTCTTCCTCCTCCGACGACGACGCCGTTTCATCGGATCCGTTTGGAGACGTATTGGTGGCATTTAGAAAATGGGACTCGGAAGTGGGGTGTGTTCGGTTCAGGGCGAATCACAAGGGTTTGATCAAAGGGAATGTTAGTTCGGGTTCTTTACAAGGATCCGGCGGGTCGGCGGGTTGTGGGGAGATGAAGATGGATCATGTTAGGGTTTTGGTGAAAGGGTGGACTTGGGTTCCTGATAATTTGGAGAATTTGTATTCTTGTCGGTGTGGGATGACTTGTTTGTGGACTAAATCACTTGTTCTGTCTGATTCGCCTGATGCGTTGTTGTTCGAAACCACAACTCCTCCTTTACAGGTTGCTTCTTGTCTTTTTTTGTAACCAAAGTTACTTGCTTGATTGTTCTTTTTTGTTAATTCATGTGTGTTTTTGGATGATCAGGGGAGATTAAGTGAGCTTCACTTTAGCTATTAAGTGGTGTGTTTAGGTTAGAGCTGTGGAATGCATTTTAAATGGATCTGATTGTGGTTTTAGTGTTATTTTTTATCAGTTCAAGCTATGACTCTTAGAGATCATCTGATTTTTTTTTGTAAGAGGAGGGAATTTCCTTAGCTTATTTGATTGTGTTTTCCAACATAGGAATGTAGAGTGTATATAGAGTCTTGCAAGTGCAATGCTTCACGGTGTTATCTGTTAAGTTCTGCTTTTGTTAGATTATAGGTTAGAGTTACATTCTCTACCGTTGTTTTTACCTTCATATGGTCTTCACACTCTTATTTTCAAGGCGATTTGTTTATTTTTTGTGGTTTGTTGCTGGAAAAACTTGCTTGAAGCTAACTTTGGAGATAGAGTTTCTCGGTGATTCATTTTGGGTAGATTAAATCCTATTGATGCTATGTTTCTTGATTCCTAAGAGACGTGTTGGAGATCCACTCCGGGTGTACATGGAGCTAGAAGCAGGAAGAAAACGTTCAGGGCGTGAAGATATATTCATCAGCTACCATGCCAAAGACGATGTCCAAACAACTTACGCCGGTGCTCTCTTTCATAACAACAGAAACTATCACATCTCTCCACATAAAAACAATGTAAGTAGCCTTGTGACAACTCCATTTCGCCAATAACTTTCTTCTTTGAGTTTCATCACAGAAGATGTCTCTCTCACAGGATGTTCTAGTGTATTGGTCTTCCTCAAGATGCCTCTCTCACAGAGACCGTCTCGCCAAAACCCTCCTCGATCTGATTCCTCACCACTCCTTTGGCAAATGTCTCAACAACGTCGGTGGCTTGAACTCAGCCCTCTCCATGTATCCAGAATGTGTCTCAGATTCCAACGCCGAGCCGAAATGGTATGACCATCTTCACTGCGCTATGTCACACTACAAATTCGTCCTTGCAATCGAAAACACAGCCACTGAGTCATACGTGACCGAGAAGCTTTTCTATGCGCTGGACTCTGGCTCTGTTCCTATCTATTTCGGAGCTCCTAACGTTCAAGACTTTGTCCCTCCGCATTCTGTTATAGACGGTAGCAAGTTCGGTTCAATGAAGGAACTGGCAGCTTACGTGAAGCGGCTTGGTGATGATCCTGTGGCTTACTCGGAGTATCACGCGTGGAGGCGGTGTGGAGTAATAGGGAACTATGGTAGAGCTCGCGCGGTGAGTCTAGATACATTGCCGTGTCGGTTGTGTGAAGAGATTAGCAGAAGAGGTGGGAAGAACGCCGGAGTTTGACGTGCCTCCGGTGGATTATTACATCTAGAGTGGTTCTGTTAATGTGGTTTCATGATATGTTTCTGATACCATATGTAAAGGTATTTACAGACAACAATGTAACTTCTAAACATTATTGCAAACTTAAATGCTAATAGTGTTCATGTGATGTGAAACAAACGGACAAAAGCATCAACAAAGAGGAACCATCTTTGGCGCCAAGGAGAATCAAAGCAGACAAAGAAAAAGAATCCTAATAGAACCATGGCATATGTGACTCCAAGGCTCCAACAAAAGGAAACAACGTCAAACTTGGTTTCACTGTCTACGTCTAGGCTTTCTTGATCTAGTTCTTTTGTACTGTTTTTGTCACAGCTTCTGTCGGTTGGTAGTCCACAGAGAAAAGGGTTGCTGAAATAGCTGTCTTCACCAAATGTGTTGAACTGCTTTCCTCTAGGAACCAGGCCGGATAAATTGTTATATGACACGTTGAAAACAGCTAGAGAGTTGAGCTCTGTCAATGGGATTGGGACAGGACCATGCAGGTTGTTGAAAGAAAGATCAAGGCTTTCAATGTCTTTCAAGTTGGAGAAACTTTCAGGAATGGAACCCACTAAGGAATTGTGAGACAGGTTTAGAGAACGTGCTCTCTCTAGATGGCCAAGCTCTTCAGGGATTGGACCGCTTAGTTCATTGTTTGACAAGTCTAGCCCAAAGATGTAACGGAGACCGCTACCAAAGTACGAATCATACCTCTGTTTCGCTGCAAACATGACGCTATAGTTCAGACCATATGTGTACTCTGGAGCTATCTGATCTAGATTAAGGATTGAATCATAGTAAGTCCCCATGTCATGGTCCATGTAAGGAGTAATGCCACCTAAGAAACTAGATCCTACACTGTCTTTTACCCCAAAAGATAAGTTACTTAGACATGGTGGTATAGACTCATTCAGCCTGTTGTGAGAAAGATCCAAAACCCTTGTTCTGTTTAGACTACACAGCTGCAACGGTATTGAACCCGTTAGATCATTCCCTCTCAACAGAAGAACACGGACGCTATTGGCATTGATAAACACTGGGATACTTCCAGAAAGCTTGTTGTTTCTAACATCAAGAACCATCAGGTTTTCTAACAATGTTTCTGAAAGAGTGCCCGTAAGAAAATTGTCGTTCAGGTAAAGCATCCCCCAAGGTAAACTAATATTAGAGAAGCGTGATGTTATTGTCCCTGATAAGTTATTACGAGAGAGATCCACAAGTTCGAGGGTTGGACTGTGGAACAAGTTTGAAGGTATTGTACCCTCTAACAAGTTTTTTGACATTGAAAGAACATTCCAGTCAAACCTTCCCATCCAACTTGGAATAGTCCCTGTAAGAAAATTGTTGGACATGTCAAGCAGGTTCAGCCTGGACGAGTTCAGGATACCATTTCCAAAATTCCCTGTGAACATGTTGTTATCCACAAGCAACATCATAAGGCTAGTCAAGTTTGTTGACTCTGGAAAAACCTGACCATCAAACTTGTTGTGTGAGAGTGTTAGCCGTCTCAAGAAGTGACATCCCATGAAGAGGCTTCTTGGTAACTTTCCTGAGAAATCATTGTGAGACAAGTCTAGAGCGTGAATGTTTTTGATCTCACCCACGGAAGCAGGCAAGCTTCCCTTGAACTTGTTGCCAGAGAGGTTTATTTGTCTTAGACTTGAAAGAATACTTCCGAAATCATCAGAAAGTTTGTCACTGAAGTTATTAGCTGAAAGATCCAAGAGCCGTAGAGTATGCACAAGTCTAGGTACTTGAAGAGTGTGAAGTGCATTGTATTGTAGATACAATACTTCAAGTTGAGTGTTATTCTCTAATATCCAAGTAGGAAACGGTCCAGATAGCTTATTGTTAGAGATGTCGATAAGACGGAGTTCCGTCTGGTACCAGAGAAAGGAAGGAAGCTTTTCAATGTTGGAACCTCGCAGTTCAAGGACTAGTAGTTGGAACTGTGGTTGCAAAGAGCTCTCCATGTCTATGTGTAGTTTATCAGACATTGATGAAAGCTTGAGCACCTTGAGCTTAGAAAGGTCTTTAATGGAGCTGTATGAGAAAATCCCTTCATAGTTATTATTACTCAGAGATAAGTATTCCAAGGACTTCAAGTTACTGATAACATTTGGTGGACTTCCATTGAAGTTGTTTGAAGAGAGATCAAGAACTCTGAGTTTTGTAAAACTAGCAAGACATGAAGGAAGTTGACCCTCAAATACATTTCTACGGATATCAAGCTCCTGCAGAGTCCTCAATTTGCAAATTCCTGAGATAATCAGTGTAACAGAGAACATTGAATAACGTTTTCACCAAGAATGTAAATTAGTCTCACAACTTGCCTTGAAGTGAGCCAGAGAATTGATTGTTGCTTAGATCTACAGCTTTGAGCTTATGCAGATCAGCCAAACCTGCCACAAGAGAAGGTAGTTCATCATATTTTCCTCATAGGATTTAAGCTAAGAAAGTGTTTTGGAGAGAGTTGTGTCGGATGATGACAAAGTAAGATCTCTACTACCTAGGCTTGGTAGAGTGTCGTTGAAAAAGTTGTCACTCAGGTCTAGTACTTCCAAGTTTGTCAAATTACTGAGTTCTGTTACAAAGTGAAATATGTGAAATGAATATGATTGCTACTGTATATGTCAGAAGTTCAACGCATCATAAGCTGAAAACAGCATACCTTTCATCAGAAAGCCACCTTGCCAATAGTTGAAACGAAGAATCAAAGTCTTCAGTGATGTCACAGATGGCAAAAATGGTAACATGTTGATATTGAAACCACTTCTAGAGAGGTCAAGAATCTCAAGTTTTGGCAATTTTCTGAAGCTCTTGTAACCTGTTCAAGAAATATAGTACTCATACACATTTCTCATCGATATTGGAGTTGAAAACTGCATAATGATACCTTCAATATTATCAGACCAACCACCAAACAAAGCCCCGGATAAGTTGAGGCTCTGCAATTCTTCAAAGGGATGAAACAACGAAAAGATTCAAGGGAGCAACATCTGTGTACACCAAGTTACTTAGGGAGAGACCAGTGACTCGTCGGCTTTTAGCATCACACTTGATTCTTTCCCAGCGACAGCAACTGATGCTTCTATTGTTAGGCCAATCTAGTATGACAAAGGGATCTACAGAGATCAAGAAGGCCTTGAGATCTAATAAAGCCTTCCTTTCTTTCTCAAGGCAACCTCTATATCCATGCATCTGCCCAAGTATCAAACATACCAGGAAGAAAAATCGCCACATAATGTTTGACTTTAGAATAAAGGTAAACAAAAAGTAGGTTCAATATCCAAATCTTCTTCAATTGAAGGCATAGCAATAGAAGACGAAATTATTTTGTATGGACCATCACATCTTTCCTCAAAATACTTTTTTTAATCCCCCACTTGAGGAAACCATAAGACTTGAAAGTTTCACTGGTCAGGAACACATGTTTGATTCCTTGAACATGTTATATTTAAAGTTGAAGAAACAAAAACATATATTTTATTATGAGCAAGTTATATCTAAATATTAAACCATATTGTGAAATTGTCCCCAAAGTTGGACAAGAGTCACAAGACACATAACTACAAACATAACAAAGATCAAGCAGTGTTTTAAAACAGAATCGGTAATGTTCGACCATGGTTTTGCATATTTTAGTTTTAGAATTCACTCAAACATTCGAAAGTGTGAATATATATATATATGTGCTGGAAAAATTCAGAGTACCTCCATCTGGTATTCACAAGCTCATTTTAACTAAATGAAACTTTGAGCTCTTGTTCTTGGCCAATTTTTTGAATGTTGTTGACTGGAGAAACTTGCTTCAAGCCAACATTGGAGATAGAGTTGCTTTGGTGCATTCACTTTGAAAAGTGGGTCAGATATGGGTGATAAGAGTAAAGTAAAAAAAAATCTCATTATGCTCTTTATTTTGCCTCGAACATTACGTCTGGTGCTTCAATTCCTGCTTTACTAATGTGATCTTTCAATTTTTGGATCCTATTGTTGCTTTTTTAATTTCCTTAAAGACGTGTTGCGGAGGCAGAGCCACTCCGTGTGTACATGGAGCTAGAGGCCGGAAGAAAACGCTCAGGCCTTGAAGATATATTCATCAGATACCATGCAAAAGACTGTCTATATAACTTAAGCCGCTGCTCTTTTTCATAATAACATAAACTATCACATCTCTATACATAAAAACAATGTGAATAGCTTGTTAAAACTCTATTCCAACATTTTTCTTCTTTGAGTTGCATCATTTTTAATTTGGTCGATGTAAAGCCTAAACAGTGTAGAAGAGAAAAAGGCAGAGTTATTCACTTACAGCAGTAGTACTAAAATGGTCAACCAAAGACCAAAAAAAAGAAAAGAAAAAGAAACCCACCAAAAAATGAATATTAATAGGATTGATTGACAAGTGTTGAGAATTAGTTGAACTATAACTGTATAAATTTTATTGGAAGATTTTTTATTTAGTTGTATCAAATATAGATGTAAAACAACTAAATTGTTTATTGTATGAACAGATCTCTTTCCATTTTCATAAAGATCATTTGAATATGTGCTGGCAAAAAAAATTGAATGTATATCCACATATCTTTAAAATTAAATAGATAGCAATTATCTTGCTTTGGACCAAACATAACATGCCAAGTTCTTCTTCTTTTAAACATAAATGGCAGATTTGATACCTAAAATATATTTTAGATGAATTACTTATTCTATATGTTTAGAACAGTTTTGAATACATACAAATTTAAAAATCTCCCAAAATAGTAATGATATATTTGTATATATGTATTTGAATTTTGAGCATGATAGAAGAAATATAAAGAACATATATAAACGTGTATGTCACAAAATGATTTGGTACACAAGATGGCATACATTATAGACATGTGTCTGATTGTCTTCTATTAATATCTTCTTAACAGTTAATTTAGATAAGTTGTTCTTAGCTAATCAAAATATGTTTCTATGTAACCACCCTACTAATATCAAATTCTTATTAATTATTTTTCTCTCGGTATATATATATCGGATCATTCTCTTAATGTCCCTAATCCTATGCAGAGATAATATATTTATGTTGAGAATCGAAAACCGTTACCTCAACTCAAACGTTCTTAAATTCTTAGTTGTTTTGCCAATTTTCGTGTAGGTGTAAAAATTATTTTATTGAACAACTTAGCTACATCGTCCATGGACCGACCAAAGAAACAGGTCGTACTACGAGCGGTGAACTCGATGAGCTCACTATCCACGAGCGTCCAAGAAAATGGAGTAAAAAGAATACGAGCAGTGAACTCACTGAGCTCAATAGCTGAACTAGACGACAAAGATCTACTGGCTCTGCTTGCTGACCAGCCAAGACTGAATCTCGAACGGAAAAACTCATACGACGAAAAGTCTTTCAGCGAGTTAAGCCTATACGACAGTCTAGACGGTAGGTTTGGTTGGGAAACGCCTACTTTCTCCATCAATGACTCATTTAACCCTCACCCAATGGTCACACAAGCTTGGGAGGCTCTTTTTCGTTCTCAAGTCTTCTTCCGAGGTCAACCAGTAGGAACCATCGCCGCCTATGACCATGCTTCTGAGGAGGTCTTGAACTATGATCAGGTATGGTTTTGTGTTTGGTTTAATTTTTAGTTTGCTTACAAACTATATATGGTTTTTATAATGTTATATGCTTTATTACAATCAAGGCTGGATCTGAGATTTATAGGAGTAATAAGACTATAAACATTTAAGAATGCTTTTAATAAAAATAAAAGAAAAATTAGACAATTCGAGATCATGCGACCTAGTATAATACTTAACCCATTTCAATTTAATTATCGTTTTAAGTTTTTGAACACAGATTAAAAAAACATTTAATTTTACATATTTTCAAAACAAAAACAATATCCTATACACCTAACTACATTTCAACCAATAAAAAATAGAAAAATATATAAAACTAATAAATTCTATATCAAAATTATAAAACGACATTTATTTTGAAACGAAAATAAATTCTACAATGACATGTAAACTGAAACGGAACTTTTAAAATTTAGGGGTGAAGACAAATATTTTATCCTGTTGTACCAAACACTGTCCTGATTAAGATGTTTCTTGTCTATTATAAAGGTATTCGTACGAGATTTTGTACCAAGTGCTCTAGCATTCTTGATGAACGGAGAGCCAGAGATTGTGAAGAATTTTCTCCTTAAGACGCTTCAAATCCAGGGACACGAAAAAAAGATTGACAGGTTCAAGCTTGGTGATGGTGCAATGCCAGCGAGCTTCAAAGTTCTCCATAACCCTATCAAGAAGACAGATAGTATCATTGCTGACTTTGGAGAGAGTGCCATCGGGAGAGTGGCTCCCGTTGATTCAGGCTTCTGGTGGATCATTCTCCTTCGAGCTTACACAAAGTCAACGGGAGACCATTCTCTGGCCGAGAGACCCGAGTGCCAAAAGGGCATGCGGCTCATACTCTCTTTGTGTCTCTCTGAGGGTTTTGATACTTTCCCTACTTTGCTTTGCGCAGATGGTTGCTCCATGATCGATCGAAGAATGGTATTGTCTCTCTTACCGTTTTAAACTATTTTGAGATTTCATGCATGTTTTAAACGTCAAAAACTATCACTCAATTCATACATTAGAGCACCATTAGTGGTGTCATATTTTGATATAACTTAGTTATTTTTTAATTTTTTTTGTAAAATGAAAGAAAGTTATTTTTTAAAATTTAAAACTATCAAAATGTGTAAACTATTGATAGAAGTCAAATGTCATTGAGTTTTTTTTTGAAGATTGAATTTCTCATTTAAAAAAAACATATCACTCTCTTTCATTTTATTACTTTTTAATTGTTTAAAGTGTAGAGACCTTTTTATTTTACTCTACCTCTCATCTCAGTTACATATTAACAAAACTTAAGAACGTTGTGTTAATGCTCTTACGGTTTTACATATATGAATAAATGGTTTTGTAATCTATTGTAGGGTGTTTATGGATACCCGATCGAGATCCAAGCCCTATTTTTCATGGCACTTAGATCAGCACACTCCATGCTGAAACAAGACACCGAGGGGAAAGAGTTTATGGACAAGATAGTGAAGCGGTTGAACGCGATGAGCTTCCACATGAGAAGCTACTTTTGGCTTGACTTCCAGCAGCTCAATGACATTTACCGTTACAAGACGGAGGAGTACTCACACACCGCAGTTAACAAGTTCAACGTCATCCCGGACTCCATACCGGACTGGCTCTTTGATTTCATGCCTCTCCAGGGTGGCTACTTTGTAGGTAACGTCAGTCCTGCCCGCATGGATTTCAGGTGGTTTGCGTTGGGAAATTGTATCGCAATCCTTTCCTCGTTGGCTACGCCTGAGCAGTCCATGGCTATCATGGATCTTATTGAGGCTAGGTGGGATGAACTGGTCGGAGAGATGCCGTTGAAGATATGTTATCCGGCGTTGGAGAGTCACGCGTGGCGGATTGTCACTGGGTGTGACCCTAAGAATACAAGGTGGAGTTACCATAACGGTGGATCTTGGCCAGGTTAGTTAACTTCTTTTACAAGTCATTCATATTTTGAATGCATTAGTATATAGTTCAAAGTGCAAATCTTTTTCTATAGTTAATGGGATCTATTATGCATTAACATATCAAAATCACAGACCAGGATGTGTAAAATTCTATAAATAAATAAAAAATAATAAGATATAGATGCAAAACATGAATGATAGAGATGCTTTATTGCTTATGCAATATAGTAGAATAATTTATCTTATAGATTGGGAATCTGATGCTGCTTCATACGACGTTACTCTTTTGTGTTTGTAGATAGACGAGTTTACAAAAAAATAATATGATTTTTGTTTATTTTTTCCTTTCCCGAAAAATAAGTAGAATTTAGTTTTTATTCTTTGTTGTTGTTGATGGTGAAACTAGAGCAAGATCCATGTGAAACAGTATTTTTGTGTGTTGGATAATCATACGACCAAAATATAGTTGTCCTATGTGACTGATGCAAAATGTAAATGTAGTGCTTCTATGGTTGCTAACGGCGGCCAGCATAAAGACCGGACGGCCACAAATAGCTCGACGGGCAATAGACTTGGCGGAGGCACGGTTGTTGAAGGATGGATGGCCGGAGTACTATGATGGAAAGTCGGGAAGGTTCATCGGGAAACAGGCCAGGAAATTTCAGACATGGTCAATTGCTGGCTATTTGGTGGCCAAGATGATGATGGAGGATCCAACGCATGTAGGAATGATCTCAATGGAAGAAGAAAAACATATGAAACCTGTTCTTAATAGATCTTTTTCTTGGAGTATATGATTTCAGTTTGTTGCGTTTACCTTATTAAAGTACAATTAACAAAAAAAATAAAAAAAAAGATTCATCACTCCCATTTTTTATAATTTGGAAATCACACAAGACTAATTTTTAGTCTACTACGGTCCTACGGATCACTAATAGGCCAAAGAGAGTAGAAGGCCAAAGAGAGTAGAAGTAGCCATTGACTATTGACCAATCTAAGTCTTTAGTCTTTACTTTTTTTTTTTTGAAACACAAGACAATCCGACAGAAACAAATTTGAAAAAGAAGAAGAAAGAAAAACAGCGTACGATCTTTCGAGTAATAGCATGTACGTATGTAACCCCACACGTCCAATAATTTTGGGGTACTTTACCAAGTCAAACAAACTCAGTTAGTTTCTCATACTTGAGAAGTTCCCAATCATATGCCTATTTCATTAACTACGAACAAATTTGTATGTACAAACACATAGACATCACAACTTGAAATAAATGCTACATCATCTATATTAAAACTATCATTTATTTTTTCAGCAAAATGGAAATTGAATATAAATTTTCTTCTTTTTTTAAAGTGCGTTTAGGTAAAATAATAGTGAAACTATAATATACACATAGTAGTCATCACTTTGTGATTCTTTATTCATAGAATTATAGTTATAACGCCCTCTAGATGAGCTAGATATAAAATGGCCCGTTATATATCATAGTGGTGTAGATTTAAAATTTTCTGCTAAGTTCAATAAAAACAGGAGAGAAGAATTTAAAGAATAATTAATAACAAAAAAAAAACACTCCTAATAATCAGATTTATTTTTCCTCTGAAAGTCATGATTCAACACCATCTTTCTGAAAACAAGGATTAGTTCCCACTTTGTTTACTTAAGGCTTGACGCGGTCAAGGAATTGGCTTTTATATTCTAGTGTTTATATAGAAGTTCGCCCATTAACCTCTTTTGGTAAAAATACGGTAAGATAAATCTTAGTTGAATAGTTGTATCATGGACTTAGAAGCAGAAACCTAGATATTAAAGATAAAATATAATTATCATGGACTTGGAAGATAAAACGAAAACCTTTTTCATATCTTGCGTGATTTTAGCTCGTAGAAGAAAGTGTCCAATGATAATTCAAAATCTAACTTTTTTCATGTGGGAATAAGAATATTGAAAAGAAGGCAAATAGGGTTGTTGAGGAGACTGATTAACATGAATCACCGCTCACCAGTAACGTCTTTATCAACAAAAAACAATTTAAAATGGTGAGTGGATTAGTAGTATTAGCAACCACCAAATGGATTTTTAATTAAAACCTAAACCTATTCTCACTGAGATCACTTTTCTTATCCCGTGTATATAGTAATTAATCTCACCGTGGCTTTATGTCTATGATCGAACACTATGAACACCCTCCTACGCGTTTACACAACATCACGTAGTCTTAATGAAACACTCTAGACAATAAAGAATACTGCTCCATACCACCAGCACTTTCTCCTTATTGCCTCGCAGAATGATACCAAAATATACAACGTTATCATCAAAATTATTAACACATTTTTCTTTGATAATAAATTTGATTATAATAAAAATGATCAGTTCAAGTTGACCAGGAGAGGGAATTTCATGTATACATTTAAGATTTTTATTCATCTGCATAAATATATTTAGCATTATCAACCAAAATTATAAAAGTAAATTACTTGATTTAGATAAGTGAAAGGAAGAAGAAACAGTGTTAAAAGAAACATACAAGTCAACAAAGGTTGAAATAAGATTTTTATTCTTTTCTCCATAGCAATTTAAACCATATCCACTTGTTTTTATCCTCTCAATCATTCTCTCTTTTTTTTTTATCACAACGCCATTATAGTAGTAGAGAGTAAAGCTCCTCCCTTTAGATCTCCTCTCACTCCAAACACTCTCCTCTTCTCCTTCCTTGGATTGCCCCTGTCGGAATTCTCATGTGTTCTGCTTAAAAATCACTTCTTTTTTTTCTGATAAAAAAAAAAATCATTTCTTTTTAAAAGATGGAAACTCGCACGGAGGAGGCGTCGTCTCTGCAGCTTAACTCTACAGAAAACCCATCACCGGGAGGATCGGTTTCAAACACTGCTCTCGCCGTAATCAAACCCGCCGTCAAGAAACCGTCAAAAGACCGTCACACGAAAGTCGACGGCCGTGGCCGGAGAATCCGCATGCCGGCGGTCTGCGCCGCCAGAGTCTTCCAGCTCACTCGTGAGCTCGGTCATAAATCCGATGGAGAGACCATCGAGTGGCTGCTCCAGCAAGCAGAGCCTGCTATCATCGCTTCCACCGGAACAGGAACTATTCCGGCGAATTTCTCGACGTTGAACGCTAGTTTACGCGGAGGCGGCGGCGGTGGTGGTGGTGGATCCACCGTGTTTGCTCAGTTGGCAAAGTCTTCTTCTTTGCCTATGTCGTTTCAAAGTAGTGGAATGGCTCTGTATGATGAGAATAACGGAGCTAACGGATCATCTACTTCCTCTGCCACGGTGGATCATTCTAGGAAGCTGTTAAACGGCGGCGTTTTCGGGTTTCACCACCCGCCGATAATGTCGGCAGAGAGGAATCCGTATAGGGAAGATTACTTCAAGGAGTCTGAAGTAGTGGTGCCAAGTGGGAGTTCTCAGAAACCGGGTCAGTTTCAGGATCAAGAACTTGGTCCGGGTCCGGGTCGTGGGACGGCGGCGAATGTGGTGCCTCAACCTATGTGGGCGGTGGCTCCTCCTGGGAGTACTAATGGAGGAAGTGCGTTTTGGATGCTTCCTATGAGTGGTGCTGGTGGGAGAGAGCAGATGCAGCAGCAGCAGCAGCATCAGATGTGGGCGTTTAATCCGGGGAGTTATCCGGTTGGGACGGGTCGGGTTGTGAGTGCACCGATGGGTTCAATGATGTTGGGAGGTCAACAGCTAGGGTTAGGTGTGGCTGAGAGTAACATGGCGGCTTCATTGCGTGGAGGTAGAGGTGGTGGTGATGGTTTGGGGATGACTCTAGAGCAACATCAGCAACATCATCAAGAGCCAAACCAAGGTGAAGAAGGTAGTGAAAATGGTGGTGAGGACAAAAAGTGATTAGAAACCAAGCTAATGACATTCTAAATGACCACATCTGCGGTTAGGAGAATGCTTCTATGCCTGAGACATTAGAGTGACCAATATGGTGAAACATATGTGGCGTTTAAGCTCTTGAGCAGATTTGTCACATCATTTGTGGGTTGTTTATGTTTGTGTGTTTTCTTGATTTATCTTTTTCTTTTGATTAATAGATGTGTGAATATGTTGATATTGTGGTAAGAAAATATCAATAATGGATTTTCATTATTCCAGTGTCAATCAACAAGTAAATGATGAAGAAAAAAAACAAATATACTTTACCATAACGGTAAAACTTGTAGCTCTAAGATCCAAAAGAAGCAAAAAAACTTTCTCTTGCAGAAGCAAAAGTTTAAGAAAGCATACAAATTATTGAAGCTGTAGAACAACAAGAGCGCGCGCCATGAGGGAAAGACTCAACCAGAAGCGGTCTTCCTCTGCTGGAAGACAACAGCAAAGATGGGAACACCAACACCGATGCTGAAAGCAGTGAAGACACCGAGAGACATCTTGAGACCTTGGTACTTCATGCGGTCCAAATTGTACATGTGCTTGGCGTGGAGGTAGTATGGCTCATCATGGCCATGTCCTCCGCTCATCTTCTTAGCTCCAGTCGAGTGGAAGCTTCTGCTCACTGTTTAATTATAACGAAAAAGAAAAAGTTTCAGCAAGTTCTGAAATCAACAAATGAGACCCAAAGAGGTAAAAACAATGCGTGTGCCTGTAAATTACAGCCTGTAACTATTTCAACAATGTAAGCCGTAAAAATGAAATCTTTTTATCGATGAAGCGAAACTATTTGAACATGAACATGAACATGAAAATATAACATCTAATTAGCAAAAAAAAAACGAACTTTGATAGTTTCATGAGCGCTATATGAAAAAAGGAAACACACTAATATTCAGTTTTTTTTTTATCTCCGCCTTTCAATAAACAATCTGTCTCACAACATGCCATTGAAGCGAATCTAAGGAGGGAGATTGATGTTACAAACAAAAACTCGATTCCCAAAGTTCAACGCTTGATAAAAGTATAAAACATAACTCTATGGATAATCAAAAACAAAGGTTTTGTTTAGGAACTAACCAGATCTAGAGATTGATGATTCGGATGAAGCTATGATCTTTGAGACAGATCTGATTCCGGTGTTCAACGCCATGATCAGAGAATTTTAATCGAGAAAACTCTGCAAGTTTTACGGACGGCGAATGGAAAGGCTGAGACTGGTTGAATAGCAACACACATTCACACCTGTTCTGTAATAAATATTTTTGTTTTGGGCCTCGGCCCTTTTATTCTCATACAAGGCCGTTTTTGGAATGCTTTAGTTTCTGGCCCATTAATGAGTGGAGCTAACAATGGAGATAGATCCCATGTGAATATGCATGCAGAAAGTATTTTCTTATGTCAGCATTTGATATTCTTGAGGTTGACCGATATTTTAGTGCATTTAAAAAAAAATCTTTCTCAACACATAATAATCGTATTCAACAAGTTGTTGGAGGTTAATATGTTGTACAACTAGCCTACTTTCACATACACATTGATAAATCATTCTCCTCACTATAGATCATCAATTATAAATCACCAGGTTCTACATCAAAACCAGTGGACCTTGAAGTATTCATCCTCACAGTCGATAATCTGTTAAAGGGATGAAAACTAGCTATCTAAGCTACATAACATTTTCTTTATTAGAAAACAAGCATCTTAATGCATTCGAACTAGAGATATGAAGAATAAGCTTTCATAGTTGATCATCTAAAGTACACACAATATTTTTTTAAACCAATGGATATATTTGAGAAAATTGTGAATGGTAGGATCGGTAACGTACCCAAGCATCTTTTACCAAAGAAAACTACCTTTTTCTATGTGTTTCTAATACTAATCTAAGATGGTCATAACATTGTTGTTCAACAAGCTATATGGCTATTACGGTGTAGCTCTCTACAAAGTAGTTCATGCACGGAAACGAAAATCAATTTGATATATTAGACGTACATACAAAAAAATAAGTTATTGAATAGGTTATTCGTCCCCCAATGTTTTTTTTTTTTTTTTTTTTTGAACTTGGCTAATCGTCCCCCAATGTTCAAGTCACAAGAGTCAGACAAAAGCCTCCACAATGATCTTATCCAATTGATTCTTAAGATGGTCACGTCGTAGTTCCCAACGTACACGAAATCCCGCATGACCCGGTCGTATGTTGCTCGCCAAATCACTAGTGATTCTTTGAACTTATAGCGAATCAAGTTTTTATTGATTAATCACACAAAAACTTAACTTCTTATCTTCTTGTAACATACAGATTCGACTATTAAGAAAACCCATATACTAGTCTGCATGAATATTGTGGTCCAGCTTCGTGATCACCATTAGTATTAATTGGTTAGTTTTTATATATTAAGTAATTTGTTAACTTATTAAGATTATCGCTAAGATGGTGGACCATGATCCATGAACACTCTCATGGTAGTTTGTTTATCAATTAATCTGACACTAATAAGAAAATTAAGAAGTCAAACTGCATCTGGTTAATTAAGAACTCAGTGTAGGAAAAAGAATTTAGTAATCGTAAGTGATTTGGGCATCACCATACGGATTACGCGGGATTCTATTGAGGTTCGGAAGAGAATTTTGCTTAATTAATAGTTGATCAAATAAATTATCTTGTAAAACTTTTTTCTTGATATTTGAAAAATGAATTATCTTTGTTTTTGTTATTGAAAATTTCTCAAGTTTAACTTGTAGATTATGGAATGCTTCAAATTTTCTAGAGCTCCTGAGTGGATTTGTTTAGTTAAAAAAAAAATCTATATTTCATGATTTTGTGAGACTCTAGAGTAATTTAACAAAAAATATGCCAAAAATTTTAAATTTATCTAAAATTATTTAAAAACTCATTAAATAAATCGTTCCAAATCAATTCAAAATTTAGATTGAATGTATGCATTATACCGTTGTACGTTGTTTTTTCTTTAACTGCGTAATTTGCATTAGATATATAACAAAATTAGGAGAAAAACATTTTAACTTATACAGTACGTATACCAGCTACTTATGCTAAGATTGTTTGAACGTTTTTACGTTTTCATTTATTTATAAATCGCTTCTATATTATTTTTATATAACTCTTGTTGTAAACTATACACTATTATTTCAGTCAACTTTTGGCCATCCGTAGACGCTTTACAAATTATTCCTAAAATCGGAGTTTATGGACGTCAAGGGACTAGCTGATAAATATGGTTTGTCACAATATTTCTTATAAAAATAAATCACTGTATATATGGGATTTCTCATAATTAAATTTGAATGAAAATGCTGATAAATATGGTTTGTCACAATATTTACGTGAAACAATAAGCCTTACAAGTAACTAAATTTGCCTCGGTGAATTAAGTAACACAAAATAAACTCTTAACTTTTTCAATGTCATTCTAGGATATATATCTTAAGTAACTTGTTAACGAAATGAAGATCTGGTTGTGATGCGTTAACCTTAACTAATTCAGAAGTGTACTACCCATGTGAATGTCCTTATAATAGCCGCCTAAGTGATTCAAGTAGTAAACCCACTGTCCATCTCTATATAAACCCTAGTGTATATCCTTATGTTAAACCACACAACACCAAAGAACAACAAATAAGCCAAAGAAAGAAAGAAAAAAAAAATGACAAAGTCATTCGTTCTTGTTGCACTTCTCTGCATCTGCTTCCTTCTCCATTCTCCAACTGGTCAGTTCAGTTACACAAAAATATTCAAACTATACATAAAGCATATATATATTGTGTTTAAGTAGCATATATGAAATAGTACTGTTAAATGGAAATGCGACTAATTTTGAACGCTCGTTTGAAACCAGCGGAAGCAAAGATATGTCAAAGGTACAGTCAAACGTGGTCGGGAAGGTGCACGAAGACGAGCCACTGCGACCGCCAATGTATCAAGTGGGAAGACGCTCGCCATGGAGCATGCCATCAGGACAAACGTGGCCGCGCTTGTTTCTGTTATTTCAACTGCAAGAATTAAGCGTTTTGGGAGTTTAAAACTTCTCTTGTGAAACTTTCTAGCTATATAAGCCTTGTCTCATGACAATCCTTGTGTTGTTTCTTTCAAATAATAAGTTATGAATCTATGATCTTCTGTTATGATCATATGTTGTTATGAATCTATGATATGTTGTTTTTTTTATCCATAGTTCACAGTTGTCTGTTTCCGTCATGGCTGTTCCACATTAATGTTCCAATGACAGTGTGGGGTTTAAAATACTAATAGTTAACTTACTGAGTAACAAACATATACTCAGTAATTTAAAGCTAACTAAACTGGTAAGAAGAAGATGTTTTGTTGCAAAATAAATTTAGAAACGTGAGTACTCAATGTATACAGGCCCTAATGATTATTTTTATAGTATTCAGTTAGCAAGAAAACTTGTTCAGTTATTGAAAATTTCGAAAACTCCAAATCAGTTAAAAACTGTGTGCGAATATAAGTTGAACTATAGCACCTCTAAGGATCAAAAGCATGGATTAATTCCATGTCTGATTAGCTTTCAAAACTACTTATTCTAATACTAAATTCCTTAATCAACAATATGGTTTTGGGTTAAAGACGTGGATTTTTGGGTTTAATTTTGGTAAATGGATAATGTATTGTTTTGTTTAAAAAAAAGAAGGATAATGTATTGTATATGCTGTAGATGTATTAGCTTATATATATGTAGGATGTAGATGTTCGTATGAATGATTAATATTTAATATATTGAACAATATGAAAAGTTGGAGTGAATTTGATATTGAAGGTTTTCATGTTTCTAAACCTTCACGCTATTTTCAGTAAAAAAACAAACCTTCACGCTATTTGACTTTCACTAAAAAAAAAAACAAACCTTCACGCTATTTGACTTCCCTACTATTGACTATTTTTTGACAATTTTTTTTTTTGACAAACTATGAAGAAACTCATTCTCGAATTCACTAATGTTGTATATTTTTGCTTTGCCGTGATAGGGATTGAACAGAGAGTAGCTCAAAACTCAAACTACGTACAAACCATCAAAGATTTCAAGAAACAAAATACTTAAAAATAAAAATTATCCAGACATCATCATCAATATCTTCTCTACACAAAAGGGTTATAACTAAACTACGAGAGAGGAAAAAGCCGTAAGAGAGAAGTTTCCTAAAACAAAACGAAACATAAAGCCGATCATACCTATTGACATTCGATGATAACAGGACAATGCTCCTACAGAGCATTCAAAAAACCCCGAGTCCGTGGGGGACAGTCTCTCACGCAGACGGTCTGGTTAAGAGCGACATTGCCTTCCTGAAATCAAGAGACGGAAGTTCTAACCCCGGAACATGCTTCCCTTCTGGTCCCATCCAAAGACCTCCGTTATGAGGAGGCATCAGCAACGGCGACTGAGTAGTGCTATTATCTTGTGACGTTTCTTGCTTCTTCTTCACAAACTCAAAGAACTCAGCAACTTGCCGTGCATACCTTCAACAATACCAATCAAGAATACATCAGTTAGTTTTGATGATTAGTGACATTAACACTAGTGAGAAGAGAACTTACTGTCTCTTCGCTTCAATATCTTTGCTGAAATCAATATTTGGTTCACAGTCCAAAACCAAAGCAGGAACCTGTTACAGAACCAGTCTAAGCAAACTCTATCTTTAAACGTTTAAGCACATAAAAACTACATAACGTTTACCTTCTGGATGCTAGAATGCATATGATTCCCTTCCAAGTAAAACACACGGTCTTTAATATCAGGATGAAGAGAGTTATCCATCTGTAAAGACGGTTTACTAACAGAGAGCACCCCATGGTTCCCACTCTCAAACGGTAACAGCCAGCTCTCATGCTTCTCATGCAGATCCTGCAGATACTTCAACGACACTCCACCTTCTTCTGCTCGTTTCCTAAGCATCATCCTCTTGTGACAAGTGTCAGGACTCGCCCTCAAGTATATAAACCCATCAGGTACAAGTCCAGGTAAAGCAGAGACTACAGGATCAAACCAAGAGTCGTATATACTAATCTCCATCTCATTCATCCACTTGGCTTCATGAACAGCTCTCACAAACACCTAAAACAACACATTAAAACTTCATAACCTAAAAAGAGACATCACTGTTGTTTAAAAAAATCATTTACCATTCTGTCACTGAAGACACTCCTTTCCATCAACCTAAGTGGCTTAACCCCAGAAGCAGACTCTTTCTCCTGCATCAGCCTCGTGACAAACACATAGTTCTGGAAAGTGTAAGCATACCTCTGAGGCTCAGAGTAGAAAGCGTCTAATATATTGAAGTGGTCTGGTCCAACGTCTTGCCACTTATCAACAGGCTCAGGAACTATCTCAACAAGGTCACGCAGCTCAATGGTCTCATTCGCTATCCTCTGCAAGAAAGTTGATTTCCCCACACTAATGTTCCCTTCAACACAAAACGTCAAACGCTTCTTCCCGTTTAGATTAGGCTGCTCAGACTTTAGCTCATCGTCTACACTCTCTTTGATGAACGTTGTTATGCTCTCTGCGTGGTTTCTGTGTATAATACCTATAGAGCTACGGAGATAGTCAACCATCTTATCACTTGCTTTCCAGAACTGAAACCAAAAAAACCTAATCAATCAGCTAAACAGAACAGAGAGAGATTACAAGTTTAAAAGAATGTAACTTAACCTTATCTTTGTAGAGCTTCTTGAGCTCAGCAACATCTCCTATTCCATTATCAAGAAGCTTTCTTTGGTTCCTTAAACCAACACCAGGAATCTTCAGCAAATCTGGATTATTACCGGTTAACTCATTTGAGCTTCGGTTTCTCCGGTTTATCCTAACCGGTTTTTCATCTTTTTCCGTTTGCTCTCCATCAGAGACGTCTTCAACAACTTCTCCCCTAGCATTAACGGAGCTCAAACCGCCGTTAGATTCAGAGTGAAGCCACGAACGCCACGTGCCGCTTCTACCAACCCAAGCTCGGTTCCTACTAGTGATAGAGCAGCGGCAAGAAGTTGAGAACCGAACCGAAGACACCACCGCTCTGTGGAAACGGTTTCTCTGTAGAATCCCTGAGCAAACGACGCCGTTTTCGGAAATAGAACCGGTCTTTGTTGGAGGAAGCAGCATAGCGGAAGTGGAGATAGGTCTGGAGGTTTTGAACCCTAGAAGAGAAGGTAAGGCGATGTGTTGTGTAGAGATTAAACCGGCGGCGAAGGAGTTAACCGGAGGGGTTGAGTAAGTGGTGGTCGTCTTGCAAAGAATCTTCTGCATCGTTGTTTTTTTTTACCGTAGCATTTTCCCGTTGATGATAAAAAAAGACGGCGAATATGAGAATTGAGAAACCCTAGTTTTAGAGAGGGAGAGAGAATGGGGATTTTTTCGGACAACGAGAAGATAACTACAAGGCTTTGGTCTCTGTGGGTTTTGGTTTGGCGCAAAGACAGAAGACAAAGAGATAAAAAAGCGATTAGGGTTTAAGTTTTTGATTTTTTTTTTCTTAATTATGGATCTTCTTCATTAATACTACCATTATGTGGTGTATGTCGCGAATTATTAATTTATTATGATTAATGTGACTAGTACGTTTTAATAAACGTTATAGTGTGAAATTTATGGGGGAAATACGTTTAAAAATGCGGATGTGTGGGGTTGATGACAAGAAAGACAGTCCTTTTTGGCATGGTTCTGATATGTGCAGCACATGTAACACATGCCTAATAACAAACAAATAAATGAATAATTTTCCTAACCTTGTGTTATATTCTTGTTTATATTGGACCGGCATTTCATTTGGGCCTAATTCTTGTTAATTATTTGTAGTTTATAACGTTACAGATATAGACCCATTTAAAACTGCCACGAGAAGTGTATTTTGGTTCCGATTGGTCTCAAAACATTCAAAATTTTTTATTCGGTATGTATGTTAAGGTTATACTATTTTCCCAGTTTACATTGTTGTGTTAACTTCATATTTGTCAAAGAAAAATATACAGCAAGAAGAGAACTAGGACTAGCCATCCAAATATTATAGAACATTTGTTAAACATTCAGTCTTTGTAAAGTGCATAAATCATAATCAAATGTTAAGGATGTCAGTAATTCTTATTTTTCATGTAGATAGAATTTCTTAGAATAAATTATTTCATATAGGTTAATATCAAAATTAAATAAAATACATAAGCAAATAGCAGGTTTTGAATAATTCATATTTTTGGATAACCTAGAAATATCACATGGCACTGTTTTATATAGTCAACAAATAACAAATATTTTTTAAAATCAGATTATTTTATTTTTTTAGTGAATGAAATACTTAAGTTGTATCGTAAAATCTATCAATACTCTAGTACTACTGGAAATTTTAAACAAATGAAAGATTTTTTTTTGACAAAAGCAAAAAATATGAAAAATATAAGTAAAAAAAAGTAACTTCATATTCATACTGCTGAAAATTGTTTGTAATGCATCCATCAAACTATTTTGTGTATAATGTTGTAAAGCATCCAAGTTTGTTTATTTATTTGCAGTTCGAATGCAAAAATAGTACAATCCATATTTGCATTGTTTGATAAGAAATCCATATAAGTATTTTGAAAAACGGAAGTGCAGCATAGGAAGCCTGATTAGGTTTTGTTTAAGTAAAGAAGGAGAAAAAGAAGAAGGGAGAGCATCTCTATCTCAGAAACATATTGGTTTTCTCGAGAGTTTTAAGAAACAAAATAAGCTGTGGGAAGAAGGAACATGTGATCCAATACCTTTCCTTAAATCTCTCATCAAAGATTTAATTAGGGGTGTTGCGAATATGCACAATATGGTTTATATGCATGGAAACTTTAATCCAGAAACTATAGTGATAGTATCTAAGGGGAGAATGAAGTAGTTCCAAAGAATTCGAATCATAGACTCATTAGGCATAAACATGAGAATTACATGGGTAAGTCGCTCTTATTATCAAAACTTTTAATCTAAAATCGGCACTTCAATCATCCAGAAACAACAATAATCGTTTCTCTTATTAAACTTGCAGGTGTAAGAGAAAAATGGCCAATATAAAACAAACTCGAAAGAATAAGCCTCAAGAAAGGATTGAATTGATGTTTTTTCTCCCTTGGTCTCATTGTGGTCTATATGCTAGCGCAAGGTAGACAACAAGAAGATATAACTATCAGACTTTTGTCTTTGTGGATTTTGGTTTGGCGCAAAGACAAAGTGATAGAGGAGAAGAAAGCAAAAAAAAACCAATTAGAGTTTAAGTTTTTGGTTTTTTTTAATTCATTAATATCGTATATGGTATCGTCAATTACTAATATTACTAGGATTAGTGGGACTAATTTATAATTACAGTGAAACCTCTATAAATTAATAATGTTGGGGATACACCAAAATTATATATATTTTAATTAACTTATAGAGATTATTACTTTATCGATATACTAATTGAATCAAAAACTCAATTTGAAATTATAAAATTATATTATTTTATAGAGATTTTTAATGTATACGTTTTAATAGTTGTGAAATTTTTCTAACCTTGCCTTATTCATTTTATTTGGGCCTAACCTTTGTATCGGTAGTTTAAAGTGTTACAAATGTAAGCCCATTTCAAATATATAAAGTGACTCAATTGATGCTTCGTTGCTATTGGATCAAATATACAAATTAGGTTAAGTTCCACTTAAGTCGAAAACAGTGAATTGCTTCTCACCAAAGAGAAGGGGTTTTCTCATCCTTCAACTTAAGTTCATTGTGCTTCCACTGACCATGAATACTGTCATACTTGAGCATGTATGTGAACATATTTAATTAGAACGTTGTTTTGAAGCCAATCAAACTATGTCACATATAATCAACATATAAAAATAGATCAATCCGGTTTTTTAGACCAATGTGACAAAACAGAACACAGAGTGTATACAACTGAAACTTAGCAGGTCGCTGAAGAGCTTAGGCTTTCAAGTGATGTAAAGATTATATCCACTATGTTGCCTGATCGAAAGCATTATGACAGAAACTAAACTGTGTCGCTGCAATTCTTCTTTGAAAATTTCACATCCCTCAGAGCTATGTTGTGTTCTGTTCTCAGTTCTCACTCTCCAGATATCATCTTAAGTTCCTTCACTCGCTTCAGTCGCCAAACATTCCTTTATCATTTGCAATCACTTGAGGACAAGAACTACTTTTGCAGTTCTTATTTTTGTCTGCAGTTCATATCCTTCAAGACTTTCTTAATTATTAACACTTTGGGACACCTTTATTCCAGTGGTGTTTGATAGTTTTGTTGCTCGGTCAACTTGCTGGATTGGAGGCTGTTGCAGGATCCTATTAGATCACGATCCCAAGAGAACACAACTATGTCTATGCCCATATATTCCAAACTTAAGCTTACACGATGATACAGTTTTTTCTAGGTGCTCGTGGATCAAGGTAATACACCAAATGGACACATTGAACAAACTTCATTTAAGGTCATGTTGGAGAAAGGCTCGCCTAGAAAGAGTAGCCAGTGACAGAACTAAACAGAACACCAAACCTTTTGGAAGATATGCACAAGAAATTATTTATTTTCAGAATACGAAAAATTCAGAATCCATGAAGAAGACAAAGTCATATGATTCAGTCTACCAGTACTAATATTTTTATACAATTTCAAACTTTGTGATTAAGCTACTGGGATAATGCAATAAGTGTTGCAGCTGCAGCTGCTCCGGCAGCAAATAAAACCACAGCAGTAATGGGTGTCATTTTGAAGCCTCTATTTCCACAGGAGAGTCTCCAAGAGATCCGTGTGCAGTACTTGTCAGCTTCTTTGTAAAGAGAACAAATGGCTCCTCTTTCAGCGATGGCTTTTTTGTTCTAAGAAAATAACATGGCAAGTGAGATGAAAAATACAACTGAGTGGAGGGTCAAATTTAGTTTATAGCTTACAAGAAGTGTAAAGAGATGCATTACCTTACGCCTGAATTTCTCCATAGCTTGATTGAAAATGAGAGTAACACTTGGTAGCCTGAGGAAATGAACCTTCTGTTCCCCTACAAGCTTTCTTTTTTCTTGGTCAAATTCCTCTACAAGCTTTTTAAGACGAGCAACACTAGCTTCTAGATTCTCCCTATAGAGTATGTTCCAGTGCTCAACGCAGTCAACGCTTTCAAACATACACCAGATAGCGATTGATGTAGCTTCCTCGGCTAAAGCAAGATTTCCTGTAACAATACCCTGTCGAGCTGATCTCAAGGCAAAAGTGAACATCTGCTCCACCGCGTTGCTTCCTGCTATGTCTTCTGAAAGAGCCACGTCCTTTAACAGGGGATAAATTGCCTCAACCCTCTCTGTAGACTGTACAGAGACCATCCATGCTTGTGATCAGAATCAACAAACTCATTTAAGGTTTTAGTTTTTCTTATAAATAAACTTTACCTCTACTCTAGTGGATGGAGCAGGGAATGCGAGACGGAGCAAGATCTCAAACGAAGAAAGTGGAATCAGCGGCTCTCCCTCCCTAAGAGTAAGAGCTCCATCTACAAGTATGGTCCGAGCCTTTGGACGTGACACAATTCTAATAGAGACAAATGCATAAACAAGATCAGATGATTGTTAAGATATACAGCAAAATTAGGAGATGACAATCTGAAAACTCTCACTCCTCAACGAACTGCAGGATGAGATCCAATGAGTGAGGGATACAGCAACGCTTCTCATTACTGAGTGTGACTAGTGGTAGCAAGTTATGTGCCCATGAATACAATCCAACACATGTATCACCTTTCGAGGCCTGTCCAAAAACATATTCTTACAGTTCAGAACACATTCACAAACGTACAATTAAAACAGTCTTGGTCGTCGTCATACCTGAGCCATCATCCAAACGGTAATGGGAAGCTTGTCATGTCCTTGATGATACTTAGGATCCTTTCTCAGAGTCGGTAAAACACTAGTCAAAGCCTCAGGTTTGGAACGCAAAACAATAGCTAATGCAACAAACATCCCCGCCTAAATACAAACATAATGACAATAATAGAGTTAATTAAATTGAATTTTATAAACCATTGAATCACATTAAAAAAATGAAACTGATTGACAGAGAGAGAGAGAGAGATCACCTGAGATTTGGAGTCGTCGTCACCACCTCCTTGGATCTGATCAAACGCACGAAGTATGAAAGCAGAGAAATCTGCAAGTTCAACTGGAGGGAGGCTGATCCAATTGCGTGTCGTTTCGTAGACAGAGTCAGGAACATGAGATAAAGGCACATCGATGAGAGTGGACAAAGGAGCGTCCTTAAACATCTTCACCCATGGGAACGATACTCCGGAGAGAGCTTTCTCAAAGTAATCGGTATACCTCGATAACAGCTCCTCAGGACGCCAACACTCTCTCTATTTTGACAGAATTTGAATTTTTGTTAGGGTTCTATCGATTTAAAGATGGCATTGAACTTTTACTTACCAGTGCGTTAACGAGGTGATCCCTAAGATGATGAGGATCGATCTTTGCCGCTGCTTCGGCCAAAGAGACTATCTGCTTCGCCGCCCCGTCGCCATCCATAGTTCCGAGTTTTTTCGCCTTCGGATTCTTGTTTCGAGCAGTTCAATTAGGGTTTCTTCTCCTTTTGATTTTCTCTCTCTCTCTCTCTCGCCGGTGTGTGTAACAGAAGACTATACTGCGAGATTTCATGGATGTATTTATACCCACACGAGAATATTATATTATTTTTAACCGCCATCTCCCTTTGCAAAAAGAGTACAGTTTTGTTTGATATAAAGTAATTTTGATTAGAAAAATAATATATAATACAACTAATTTTGTAATATAAGTGGTATAAAAAGTTTAAATCAATTTTTATTCTTTGAAAAAATAATTACTTTGTTATAGTTAAACTTTACAGTTTTTTTAAAAATTTCTTATTACTTTAATTATTTCCTTTTTATTGATGGAATTTTTGCTTTGTTATAATTAAAATTTACACTTTATTTAAATATTTCTTATTATTTTTTCTTTTAAATTTAATACTCATTTCTTTAATTTTAAATCTAAGGAATTGATATGCTAAAATTCATAAGTTTAAAATTGGTATACTTCTAAGATATGCTGATTTGATAATCGAGAGATCGCATATGTTAAAGGTAATAACCCGAGATTAGTTCTCGAATGCTTGTTTTTTCACCATGAAACTTTTCAGTGGATTTGTTACTAGGAAGGGTAACATGTGGTGGTTTACATCCTGGAAAATCTTGAATAAATTAGGTTTATCATTATATATTTAACCATAAAATTATTACAATAATGAAATTAGGATTTTCTGTTTTTGTCATCATAAGGTTAAAACTTATGAAATTATAAGATAAATTTGTATATATTAATCAAGTAAACCAAAAAGAAAATTAATTATACAATAAATTGAGTTTCATGTAACAAATGGTACTTACAAATATATTTGGAGAAAAAAAGAGGGCAAGGATTCAAGGCTTCTTCGTTTGTTACTACAGTAGTTAGCTTCTTCTCCAGCTAACTTCCTCTATGTTTCATCTCTATGCGAGAACCAACTATGTTTTCTAAAGAATGTTAACAATGAAAGAGCTAGTGACATGTCATCCTTAAGTTTCTCCTCCTAACTCTAATAGAGTTGCTGATTTGCACTGTTCAAAATTTCATCAAAATTTGAACTTTGAGCTTATAATATCTAAGGGGAAGAATATGGTTGTAACCAAAATGAAGTTTCAAATACGAAAACTTAAGAATCCATGAAGAAGACAAAGTCATATGATTGAGTCTATTAAATACTCTTTTATACTATTTGTCTGGAATAACATATTACTAGTTTATATACAAGAAATAAAAGGACACAGACTCTAATGTCGACTAGGTGGACCAACTTTGTCATTAAGCTACTGCGATAAGATGATACAACAAGTGCAGTAGCAGCAGCAGCTCCGGCAGCAAATAGAACCACAGCAGTAATGAGTGTCATTTTGAAGCCTCTATTTCCACGGGAGAGTCTCCTGGAGATCAGTTTGCAGTACTTGTCAGCTTCTTTGTAAAGAGAACAGTTGGCTCCTCCTTCAGCGATGGCTCTTTTGTTCTAACAACATAACATGGACAGCTGAGGTCAGAGATAGCATATGGGGGGTGAAATTTAGTTAAGCTATAGTTTACAACAAGAAGAGTAAAGAGAGATGCTTTACCTTACGCCTGAAGCTCTCCATAATTTGATTGACAGTGAGAGTATCAATTGGTGATGTTGATAGCCTGAGGAAATGATTGTCGTCTATAAGCTTTTTAAGAAGCGCAACACTAGCTTCTGGATTATTCATATAAAGTCTGTCCCAGTGGTCAAAGCAGTTGATGTTTTCGGTCAGAGATCTGATAGCGATTGATGTAGCTTCCTTGGTTAAAACAGACGGATTCCCTGTAACAAAACGATTAACACATTTAAAGAGGCAAAAGGATTCAAGACTTGTGTTACTACTAAAATTACCTTTTTCACCAGTTAAGGTCAAGGCAAACGTGAATAATTTACGCATGGCAAATTTGTCTCCTCGTGCCCTCTCTGGTGAAAGAGCCACTTCCTTCAAAGAGGGATAAATAGCCTTAAACCTCTTTGTAGTCTGTGCGCATACATAAAGAGACAATTGCTTAAGGTAAGAGTTCACAAACTCATCAAGGTTTATATTTTTTGTTAACTATAAACTCGCAAAATACTAGTAATTACCTTAACTCTTGCAGACGGAAGAGGGAATGTGAGGCGCAGCAAGATGTCAAGTGAAGGAAGTGGAACCAGCTGCTGTCTTTCCATAACACCACCTCCGTTTACAAGTATAGTGAGAGCCTTTGGGCGAGACAACATGCTGAAATGAAAAAAAAGTGAAACAAGATGAGAATATTCGCACATCAGAGAAGAAAAAATTCGACTCACTCACTACTCAGCGAATTGAAGGACGAGATCAGTTGACTGAGGGGAACAGCTCTTGTTATTACTGACTAGCAGTGGTAGCAAGTTACACATCCATGAATATAAGCCTGTAGATAAATCACCTCGTGAAGCCTGTCCACATAGTTTTCAGTTGACAATCACAATCACAATCACAAAAACAAAAACAAAAACACATTGGTCGGGAAAGAAAGAAACAACACATTAGGACACGAACCTGAGCCATCATCCAAACTATAAGAGGAAGCTTGTCGGGTCCTTGGTACATGTGTTTATCCCTCAGTGAGGGCAAAACGTCAATCAAAGAATCAGGTCTAGTACGCAATACCATAGCCAATACAACAAAATGTGCCGCCTAATCAAACATAGTTAAATTTAGAATCACTACACACACACAAACACACAACAGAGATGCAAGCAAGCAAGCAAGCATTGAAGATGTTTTTTTATGACCTGAGATTTGGGCCAAACAGATGGTGGAGCATTGTCACCACCTTCAGACACCAAATTGTCGAGAATACGATCACAAATCCACAATATGATATACGAGTGAAACTCAACTGGACGTGGTTTGATCCAATCGACTGATAATTCGTAGATAGGCGTAGGAATCTGAGATAACGGAACCTGCAAAGAGACTCAGATGAGATGATCAGAGAGCTTCTCAAAAAAGAGAGAGAGAGAGACTTTGTTTTTTGATTGGGCGGGCGCTCACATCGATGAGAGTGGAGAGAGGAGACTCGTTGAACATCTTAACCCAAGTCCATGATACTTGTGCAAATTCTTCCTCAAAGTAAAAGTAAAATCTCAATACATCAATGTCCGGCACACTCGGAACGTCTAAGTAATTCTCAAGATCTAAAGCATCGATCTTTGCCGCAGCTTCGGCCAAAGAGACTCTCGGCTTTTCAGTTCCATCCCCCGCCATCAGATTCTTATCCTTGGCAGCACCCTTGTGACTCATTAGGTTTTTCTAAAGTTGATCGCTTTCTGGTTTTCTCTTTCTTCGGATTCTTATCGCATTAGGTTTTCTTCTCCTTTATATACTAACTCCACAGATCAGTCGGCCATGTTTCATAAGCTAATTATTTATTATGGATCTCGCGCCTAAATAAGGTCCACACAATATATTTGATTTTTTTATTTTAGTGCAAAAAACAATTATTGATGGAGGTATATAGTATTATTTAAAAAAAAAACTAGATTCTGACCCTATTTTTATTTAATAGTATTGATAAATTAAATCAATTATTTTTTTATAATATAGCTATTTATATTTCTTATTTATCTTAACTGAATCATTAATTTTTATTGTACATGTCTAAATTTTAATCTGTTTTGAAAACTATGTACTATTAAGTTATATATATTTCTATGATTTACTCATGGGCTTTTGGTAGTTGTATATTATGATAATAAAAAAATATTTATAATTATATATTTTTTTCTGCTTCATTATAGGTGTCATTTTATAATTTTCCACACGGATTAAATAAATAATTAATTTTACATATTTTTCATATAAAAACACAATAACCTATATACGTAATCATATTTTAACGAATAAAAAATAAATTATATAATAACATTGATAAAAATTTTGCATTGAAAACTGAAAACGATACTTATTTGTAACGAAAAAAAATTCTCTACAACGATATTTAATATGAAACGGAAAGAGTATTATAAAGCTAAGACTGACAAAAGAATATTATTAAGCTAACAAATATTATTTATTTTTGTCTAAACCTAACAAAAAATTATAGATTACGTCATTTATGAATGACAAGTATGGAGAGTTTCGTTGCTGTGGATGTTCTTATGCTATTAGGAAAAGGGAATGACAAGTATAGAGAATCTCATCGCCTCTCATGTCAGAAAATTTAGTTGTTCGCGCAGCTTTAACCTTTGCCCTCTCACACGGTTTGGACAGTGTTCTAGTACTCGCAAACTCTCAAGTACTCATCAACACCATCGTTAAAAAGGGGAGATTGCTCGAGATTTATGGAGTACTAAATGACATCTACCAACTATCTGCTTCCTTTAAGTCTCTCGTGTTTAAATTTATTCCCCGTTCAGCAAATGTAGGGACTGATCTTTGTGTTAAACAAGCCCTTTGGGCCCTGGACCCAAATTAAGTTTAATGAATTTTAAAGTTTGAACAAAAAAAAAAAAAGGAAAAGGGAATTCCAGAATTAATTCAAAGCATAATGTTAGTTATGGTTTGTTCTCTAGCCCTATTATTAAGATCCAGTTTTACATAATCTATGAGAGTTGTTCTGTTCTACAAAATTATAGTGACATGTGATAATGCATAAATCATAATATTTATTTCAAACGTTTTAAGTCAGAATAACATTTGAATAAGTGATTAATCGATGAAGTCATGAAACATATATATCCATAAGAAAGTAATTTTAAGGTCTACACCCAACTTATTTTCCTAAAACCTACTATTTTTTAAAAAAGAAAATCAAGCATTTCAGTTCCATATTTTTCCTCCGGCGATACTTCAAAAACTTGGTTTTTCTGACTCTACTTTTGTTTTTTTTTAACAACTCTCTAAAAGGAAGTGTATACGCTTGATGGTATCCCACCTTCGAATCCCATCCATTCCTCCCACTCATCGGTCTCATCAATTTCTGTAGTCTCCTCTACTTCTTCTTCTTGATTCTCAAACTTTTGCATTAAACACTGAAATGTGATGGATATAAAAGACATTTTGAGAATCTATTGTGAGTTTTGAAGTGGTAATATGAAAGAAATCAAGAAGTACCAAAAAGAATAAATAACAAACACAAACAGGCTTTCTTTCTTGATATTTGTTAATCCATTATTTTTTTATAAAAAAAGAGAACAAGAAAATTAACCTCATAAGCTGATATGATTTCCTTGAAATCTTTCTCCTGTCCCTTGTGCACATCTGGGTGGTACTGCAATCACTCATTTATTATTCTTTTTCTCTTATTAAATCCTTTTATTTCTTCAACTGATTAGAAAAAAAATTCTCCCAAGGAATAGGACGCAAACTGGGACATTATTACCTTAAGAGCGAGACGTTTGAAAGCCCGCTTGACTTCGGCTTGAGATGCAAAAGGGGTCAAACCAAGAACCGTATAATGGCTGAGATCTGGTGACGAGCATCTCATCGGAAGCCTGATTAACCGGTGGCTGTGGCCGGTTTTGATGGAAGAACCAGGATGATTCGTTGGAGCTCTAAACCGGAAACTACGTATCATCATTCTTTACCAACCAACCATTCAAAATTTTTCTTTCTCCTACTTTTATTGAGAACATGTGATAGATGGACTTCTACGCAGAAACGTAATTTTCTCTGTAGTATCCAGACGGTATGGTCAATGGGTATCTGATTCAAATCTGACGTCGGTGATTATTTAAGATATTTTTGTATTCCTTAGGTCTTGGGGTGTGTAAATGTATATATATATTATTTATTGCCTGTGAAGATCTTGAACAGTTAAGAAAGACAAAAAAGAGTGAGGCAAAACACTGTCGCTTAGTAAGAAAGTGGCAACCAAGCGATTCTTCTGTATTTTCTCATTTGTCATCGTAACTATAAAAGGAAGATCTGATGTGTGGCTCAGAAAATTTTAAGAAGAAACACACACCTTTTGTCCAAATTTATGAATATATTTTAAAAATTCTTAGACCTTAGTTATGGGTAACAATATTTGTCACAATGCATTAACATAGTTTGTAATGATAAAAATCCTAGTCACCACAAGATTTGTAACGCTGATAGATATAGAAAATATTATCTCCAAAACAATTTTTCCTTGAGTGTTGTTGACCAATCAATAAATATAAAAATACCACAAGAGAATAATTTATATGTCTACACTATAATTTTTATAAAAATAAAATTTTCCCTTAAAAAAACAAACTCAAAATATTTAAATTTCAAATTACAGAAAAAAATCTACCACTTCTGGACAGATACTACCGACCGTTATGAGTTGAATCTCTATAATATTATTTGAGAAGTCAGTTTCCTACATGTCGCGCTCACGTTAACTTTCGCGATGGTTGATTACATAGATACCCTTAATAAATTGTTAGATTTTAAGATTATTTTTTTTATTTAGTTTTTTTTTTCAACTTTTTCCAAATAACATATATAATAAAAAGAAATATTTCTAAAATTTTAAAACAAAATAGAAAACGAAAATATATATATATAATATGATTTTATTAAAAAAGAAAGTTCACAAAATAGTAATACCCCCATTAATATATATTTTTAAATTACATAAAATATATTTTCAAAATAATAAAAATATATATGTTCATGAACATCAAAAAGTATGTCAGTTATACTTTATTTTCTAATATTTTTAGAAATCAACTTATAATTTGATAAATATTCTGAAAATACATGTATATATAAGCGATAAATAAAACTAATTTGATTTGACTTAACTAAAATAAAGAGTAAATAAATATTTTGAAAATACATGTATATTTAAGAGATAAATAAAACTAATTTGATTTGACTTAACTAAAATAAAAAGTAATTATACTTCAGTTTTAAGAAACATTTCTAAACTTTTAAGACAAATTTAAAAACGAAAATATATGTATATAATATGAATTTATTAAAATGGAAAGTTCACAAAATTGTAATATCTCCATTAATATATATTTTTAAATAACATAAAATTTATTTTCAAAACAATAAAAATATATATGTTCATGAACATCAAAAAATTTATCAGTTACACTTTATTTTCTAATATTTTTTAGAAATAAACATATAATTTGATAAATATTATGAAACTACATGTATATTTAAGCGATAAATAAAAATAATTTGATTTGACTTAACTAAAACAAAGAGTAAATAAATATTATGAAAATACATGTATATTTAAGCGATAAATAAACTAATTTGATTTGACTTAACTAAAATAAAAAGTAATTATACTTCAATTTTAATTTAAAAATATATTAACTCTATATACTCACAAAATGAATGACTCGACTAATATAATTTATATCCAAAACTAAACATCTAACTACAATAAGAAAATATAATTTTATAATAATANCATGTATATTTAAGCGATAAATAAACTAATTTGATTTGACTTAACTAAAATAAAAAGTAATTATACTTCAATTTTAATTTAAAAATATATTAACTCTATATACTCACAAAATGAATGACTCGACTAATATAATTTATATCCAAAACTAAACATCTAACTACAATAAGAAAATATAATTTTATAATAATAATAATAAAAATAATAATTTATTTAATTCTATACATATAAATTAGAGATTAACTCAAAGCATATTAAAAAGAAAAATAAAATATTAATTAATTACAAATTAATTCTTTTAGACTTTATATATATGCATGAGACTTCAAAATATTATCATTATATTCATTTATGTAATTTTGAATCAAACACTCCAGCTTATTATGTATTTCATTTTAAGCACAACATATATTAAGGTATACATAATTTAACTAAATATATTTACATATCTCAGAATATGTTTACATATTCAAAGAAAATAACCAACCAAAAAGGAAAATAAAAAATTTATCAAAGTTTTATTATATTTAGAATAAAAAAAATTATAGCTGAATTCGAAAAATAGATATTATCGAATATACCGAATTGATAACCTAACCGACTATTGATCCGAAACTAAATATCAATCAATTATTATAAAATTTTACTTTCATGAATATTCATGAAAATTGATACCCGTGCATGAGCACGGGAAAATCACCTAGTATGTGTTAAAAACTGAGTCAGATATATTAGCCCATTATGAATACTAAGTGGGCTCTACTTATCTATAGATTTAAACTGTGAATGAGATCTGGATCCGACCCGGGCCCATGAGACCTAACCGAACCTCACTGAAAAAAAAAAAACCTCACACTCCATTCTCGCTTCTTCTCATCGTTAACGCGCCGCCGCCGTGGAGAAGAAGAGAGAAGACATAATGGAGGATATCGAGGATCTGTTGGCCGGAGGAGTTGGTGGTGCTACGCCGGGATTCAGATTACCGTTAAATTCCGTCGGAGTTAATCCGAAGAGGAATACGAGCAAACGTAGTCTCCCGAAGCAGAAGGATGAAGTCGCTGATTCGAATCGCGATTCGCTCGCTCCACCATCTATGAAGATCCCTGGAACTCAGGTCGCTCTCTCGATTTCATTATGTCATTTGCTTCGGTTTATATATCTGTGAACGTATTATTAATGCAGTTACGTTTATTTTGTGCAGACGATTTATATCAAGACGTTTGGATGTTCACATAATCAGGCAAGTCAGCTAGTAAAATCTCCAGTATTCGATTGTAATTTTGGAGTTCTTGGTTTGCCTCATCAGGATAATATAGTGATTGAGTGTTTTAGCTATGTTTCATGAAGTGATTGATGTGTTTTTAGCTAAATTTGGATGTTTCTTAGGCTGGTGATTGAGGTTGTGATATGTTTTAGCTTAAGTGATTTGATCTTACTGTTGTTTCTGGTTATTTTTCAGAGTGATAGTGAGTATATGGCTGGACAGCTTACTGCATTTGGCTATGGGTTAACGGAAGTCCCAGAGGATGCTGATTTGTGGCTCATTAACACGTAAGCTTTAGTTCTCAGAGTTCTGTGTACTGTTTTTAAGTTTGTGTGCTGTAGAGATAGTTATGAGTAATGAGCAAATAGTTCATTGGGTCACGGTTTGATTTTGTAACTTCACAGTTGAAATTGCATCATTTTGTTCAATATAGCTTGATTTTGTGTTTGCAATGTATCTTATACGAGAGATTTGTTGCAGCTGTACTGTGAAGTCTCCGAGCCAGTCTGCGATGTCTACTCTGATAACGAGGGGTAGAAGTGGGAAAAAGCCTCTTGTGATAGCTGGATGTGTTCCTCAGGGAAGTCGGGACCTTAAAGAACTGGAAGGCGTTAGTGTAGTTGGTGTGCAACAAATTGATCGTGTTGTTGAGATTGTTGAAGAGACTCTTAAGGGTCATGAAGTGAGGCTGCTGAATCGGAAGACTTTACCTGCGCTTGATCTCCCAAAGGTGTGTATAAAGTTTGGTCCTTGATCCTATATATGTGTTTGGTCTTTCATGGCATCTTACACTCAATTACTTGTTCAACTTCAGTGGTGCTCTTTTAGTTTTGGCTTAACAAGTCATTTTCCATTGCAGGTGCGGAGGAACAATTTTATCGAGATCCTCCCCATCAACGTTGGCTGTTTGGGTGCCTGTACCTACTGCAAGACCAAGCATGCCCGTGGTCACTTAGGAAGCTACACAGTCGAAAGTCTTGTAAGCAGATTCTGATTCACAGAAACGAATTTTGATTTGCATTCAGCTCTTTCCCCTTTCTTGTTTCCCCCGGAACAATTTATTGAGATAATTACATTGTAGGTAGAGCGTGTGAGAACTGTAATATCTGAAGGAGTCAAGGAAATTTGGTTGAGCAGCGAGGACACTGGAGCATATGGTAGTTTCTTTATCTAGTTTATTTTTTTCTCTCTCATTGGGCTGATTTGTTTTTGGTATCTAAGAGAGCTAACCTCTTGCAAATGTTTCAGGTCGTGACATAGGAGTTAATCTTCCAATTCTACTTAATGCCATCGTTAAGGAGCTTCCTTCTGATCAAAGCACAATGCTAAGGATTGGGATGACTAATCCTCCCTTTATCCTTGAGCATTTGAAAGAAATAGCAGCCGTTTTACGTCACCCATGTGTCTACACATTTCTGCATGTCCCTGTTCAATCTGGCAGTGATGCTGTGTTGACGGTGAGTCCATAATTGTGTAGGACTGTCAAAAAAAGTGTTCTAGTCTCACCTATGGATTTCATGTTGCAGGCCATGAACAGGGAATATACATCGGGTGAGTTCAGGACCGTGGTAGACACCTTAACAGAACTTGTGCCAGGGATGCAAATTGCTACCGACATAATATGCGGGTTTCCTGGTTAGTGCATGGATAAACAAGAAACTCTGAATTTTGCTAATATCGTTTTCACTCTTTACTGAATTTTGTTCATTGTACCTGCTGAGACCTGAGAGTAAAACAATCATCAAACCGCTATACAGTAACTACATTGATCGAATGAATTTGTTGGGTGTGGATAGTTGAAGCATGTTCAGTGTTCATTTAGTTCGCCTGTGTTTTGAGATACATTTGTCACCTATTCAATTTTCAGGTGAAACCGATGAAGATTTTTCTCAAACTGTTGGGCTAATCAAGGATTACAAGTTTGCTCAAGTTCATATATCTCAGTTTTACCCCAGACCAGGTAAGTTCAAGGATTTGGTTATGTAAAAGTATTTGGGAAATGTTTGATCGATTCTAAACTTCTTTCTCGGTTATGCCTTATATGATACAGGGACCCCAGCGGCAAAGATGAAGAAGGTACAAAGTAAGATAGTGAAGCAAAGAAGCCGTGAGCTCACTTGTGTCTTTGAGGCTTTTGCACCATACACGGGAATGGAGGGCAAAGAAGAGAGAATATGGATAACCGAAATAGCTACCGATGGAGTCCATTTGGTAAGTCCCCTCCTGAGTCATATACATCGTGTGACGTTTTCCCCCAAACTTCAATCAAGAAAATCAATTGATACGTATTGACAATGAGAATATGTAGGTTGGGCATACCAAAGGATATATACAGGTCTTAGTTAGTGGACCAGAAAGTATGCTTGGGACTTCAGCTATAGCGAGGATAACATCTGTAGGGAGATGGTCAGTGTTTGGGGAAGTGATTGAGACACTAACCTCTACAAATATAAAAACACAAATCCGAGAGGAGACAAAGCCGCCATGTACCTCTGATGTCAGTACTTGTGAGACTTGTAATTGCTCTGCTGAGAGCTGTGGAGAAGGGAAATCGGGAGAGGCCTGTAACGTGTCTGGAGATATAACAAGACAGGATGAGAAGACACAAGGAAAGTCAAAGACAAAAGAGGAAGAGAAGCAAGGAGTGGTTTCACATTGGGGTTTTGTTGACAAGGCACTTGTGTGTGGAGTTTTCATAAGCTCTCTCACAATTCTTGTTTTGATGATTAGCATCGCATCTAAAGTTTTGCTGCGTCATCAATGAATCAATGAGATTCATGGTGGTGGAAGAACCTTTATCTAGTTTTTGACCTTTTTTTGTTTGCTTTGACTATATCCCCGTTATATGCATCTTTACTTTTCAATGAATCTTTATTTCTGATTTTCTAACTTCAGAGTCACTTAAGAATGCTTGTTCCACAATAATTTATATAGTCCATGATTTATAGCAGGCCTCAGTCCCAAACAGAACCATTCTTTATATACTAAAGCGCGAATCGTTAATAAAATCTCTATAATATTATTTGAGAAGTCACTTTCTTATGTGTCGCACTGACGTTAACTCTCACGCTGGTTGATTATTATGATACCCTTAATGAATTAAAAAAATATATTTAAATATTATTATTTTTTTTTAATTTTTTTCTAAATAACAATATAAAATAAAAAGGAAACATTTATAAACTTTACAAAACTTTTTAAAAACGACAATATAAGTATATATAAATATTGTTTCAAAAAAGGAAAATTCACAAAATAGTATTATTTAATTTAAATATATTTTAAATAACATATATATACTTTTGAACTAACAAAATAATTTATATCTATAAATAATATTTGTATATAATGTTATTCCATAAAAAAAGTTAGCACAACTAATCTTGATATTAGAAAAAGAAATATTTTTTTCTTTCAAAAATAATTTTAAACAATAAATATATATATTTTCAAAGTAATTATTTTCTTTGTATATATCTATCTATTTTATTAGATGATTACATAAAATAATTAAGTAACATAAACATATATATGTTTAATTGATAGTTTTTTATAATTAGTATTCTTGAAATATTTTATTTATTTATTTTTAGTATATTTATTTAACTATAATATCTCACAATTATAGCAAAAAAATATAAATTTTATTTTACTTATATAATATAATTCCACAAAACTGTAACATTTTTACTGCATATTGAAATAATCCTTGATTAATATTATAAAATAAATATACAATAATAACTGATTGATATTTACTTTAATTTTTAAATTAATTTATAGTTTGTATGTCTAATTTATATTATTATATTATATTACTTTAATTACATATATAATTTTAGATATGTTATATTTAATCTGTTTTATTGTTTTTACGGTCGATTTAGTTATTATTTAGATATATTGGATTCTATATATTTCTCTAAATTCAACTATATAATTCTTTCAATGATTATAGTTGAATTCAGAGAAATAGATAAAATCCAATATATCTAAACGATAACTAAATCGACCGTAAAAATAATAAAACAAACTAAATATAACATATCTAAAATTATATATATAATTAAAATAATAGAATACTATAATATAAATAAGACATACAAACTATAAATTAATTTAAAAATTAAAATAAATATCAAGCAATTGAAATGAACAGACATTTTAAATCGTCGGGATCCACTGGTAGATAGGCGATTAAGAAGGTGGTGGTCCTCTAGTTTTAAGTTCCGATACAGTGTTGTAGATAGGCAATAAGTAGGCGATGGTCCTTGAGGGGGATATACCTTCAAACTTTATTAATTTTTCATCCAAACACACAACTACATTACATAGAAAGATTTTTTTTTTTTTTTTTGTAAACTTGTCGAAATTTAATATTTGACGATTACATAGAAAGATGATAAACTCGCAATGCGTTGTAACACATTATTGAAACTTAACTTAATCTTCTTTATTTTTCACACCAAATATTTTGCTTAAACCTCTGAAGCATGACAAATATTTTCTGATGCAGCAGATTTCATCATGCTGAGGGATTCGATGATGAGATCACAAAGGTGATGAGGGTCTGGAATCACGTCAGAATCAACTGCAAGGTTGATTATAAGTTTGTCCACATAGCTTTGTACATTGATAATAAGTGCCTTGTAAAAAAAAGAAGAGAATTAGTTAAAGATTGCATTTTTGCTTATTGTTAAATATGTCGTCATATTGGGTTTTTCTAAATATAAAATTATTAGCAACTAGATGATTTTTTTATTTAAAATTATCAGCAACTAGGTGAAAATTTTCCTGTTTATGTACATATATAACTATGTACAATATATATAATTTATAATAATTGAATAGTATCTTTTATTTTATAAATGTAAATAATTTGAAATGTGTACATATAGGATATTTTTAAAAGTAGACGTCTGATTTTGTTTTTGTTTTTCTTCCTTACTTTCAAAAACACAGAAAATTCTTCTTGTTACTCCCTATTTGATGAGGACAAAATAAGAAGGTTTTGTGTTTAAGGAGAGATAGTACCTGCGATATACCAGAGACACTTCCAGCAAAGTAAGATATTTGGTGGCCAAAAAAGCTAATTTCTTCGGCTGGACCAACCACATTTGAGAATATCATTGTTGTATTATGAAATAATCTGTTTAAAATGTTCCTGACTGCCTGTTTTACATCCCATACATCCAAACATACATCGATTATTTTCAAAAAAAATTAATGAATATTTGCATTTGGAACTTTAGATATTGTTGATTTAGATTTTACCTTAATTCCAAGAAAATCCATGGTCAGTTTCAGCAACCCATAGGAAAATAGAGGTTCAAGGGAAAGTTTTTTACGATCCATAGTAGTTTTGGCTTGTCGAACATATTCAAGCATATCATCCTCTGGCTTCAACCACAAAGGAATTATAACATAACCTAATGAGTTTCCCCATCTACACTTTGAACCTTTTGCCATCATATTAGCCAAGTCCTGTATAATATATTTTAAGTTAGATTTTTTAGTATTTCAAATAAGATAAAACGAAGATCGTTAGTGGTATGTTATCTCCAGAACCTCTATATCTCTATTTGGCCTTAGGTTGAAAATAACAGCTCCACGATGACATAGTTTGTCTAGAGTTTTTCTTGTGTCTGAAGTTGTTTCAAGATCTGTTCACAAATTTGAGAATATTTAATTAAGAATTGCTAAAAGGGTCTTTATGACACTAAACAAGAGTATATTTACCGTATCTTTGATTCAGATATCGTGACAGACCAGCTTGTACCATTCCAAAAACCACATCATTCACTGTCTAATAAAAAATAAAAAACAACATAAATATTCATTATTTCAACAAAGGAAAGTAATTAAGCAAACATACCATTTTCATGGCGTTCTTCACGTTTTTGACATCATCCAAAGGAATGATTTGATGAATAATCTTATCAATGCTACGTGAGGCTCCTGGTTTACCACTTAGACAAATTGCGCTGTCCCGCGGGAAACACATAAAAACCAAAGCGTTGAAAAGTTCAACACAAGTGTGGAACGTTGTTCTTACTAAGAACCATAACCAAGCAACCAACGACCAACAAGCGTTTTTTGCTTTGCTTTTCTTCGGAGCCACAAAAGTAGGAAATGCCTCGGGATCACATACTTTCCGAGTACAAGCAAGTAAAAGAGACATAAGAGACATCCCATCACCCAAAGAGTGATGGAACCTAGCCACAACAACAGATTCTGCAAGTGATGTTTTAAGTTTCAATAGATGAAATTCCCATAAAGGTTGGGACATGTCCATTGGAGAAAGAGCCATGTTTGATGTATAATTCTCTAGAAATTCATCAGGGTTCTCAATGTATGGATCTATTTCCGGAACAATTACATGATCTTCCACTTTTACTTTCGTTGGGATCCATTTAGATTCACCATGCCTCGTAACCTAAATGTATGATATGATGTTAGGATCATAACATCTCAAGTAAGAGGAGCCCTCAAATAATATAACATACATAGACCAATTTACTAACTATCAGTTGATTTTGATTTAGAAGTGTAGTAAATAACATATATACAGTAAAACCTCTATAAATTAATAATGTTGAGACTACACCAAAATTTTATTTTTTTTATTAATTTATAGATATATTAATTTATCGATATATTAATTGAACCAAAAACTCAATTTGTGATTATAAAATTATATTATTTTATAAAGATATTTAGTATATTTTTAATTTATCGAATATTAATTTATAGATGTTCTACTGTATATATATAAGAAATAAAAATGTCTATGTTTGTGTTTAGTAATTACCGACCAGTATGCTAGAGAAGCGGGGATGGTTAATCAATGTGTTCTTCAAGCCTTCAACAAAGATTGGTGGATCTACTTCGATTTTCAATCCAAAGGTTACAATGTTCGCGACACTTCTCTGGTAGCTGAAAATCTTTGCAAATGGACTAACTGGCTCCTCTCCTTCCGTCACTTGCCTTTTGATAGACATCTGTCAAACTTCTGTTTTTATTTTAGGGTTTAATATCACAAAGTGCATATGCGAATGGTTTGGTTTATAAAGAGCTCTGTCTCACATACCCTATTAATATATGAATGTCTCATAGATCTCTTTACCACACAATATGTATGGCGGGCCCAAGCGATTGTATAGTCAGTGAAAAAACAGTAATTCCATTTATTGATACATTAATTTGTGATAGGTACTGACTGTTCAAGATATTTTCACCATTTGAGCTCATCGGTTTCTTACTTTATTTGTATTTTAAAATCCCTTATATATTAATTAAAAATTATAACTTTAAATTTGTACTCCATCCGTTTCAAATTATATGTCATTTTAGAGTAAAATTTTCGTTTCAAAATAAGTGTCGTTTTATAATTTCAATGCAAAATTTATTGATTTTAAATATTATTTTATTTTTTGATTGGTTGAAAAACGATTAGGTGTATAGGTAATTGTGTTTTTGTTTTGAAAATATAGAAAATTAATTGTTTTATTAATATGTGTGAAAAACATAGAATAACAATTAAATTGAAACAGATGGAATATTAATTAAAAAAGTCTTGCTTAGGTGTTACTTAATTCTGATGTCAGTTTAACCTATTTGATAGCATAAGAATCAATTGAAAAATTAGTTAAGTTCAAAATCTAATTGCTAGAAAAAGTTATATTAACCCAAACATAAATGTACATGATAAACTTTATAAAATAATATTCCTTATTTTCTTCTTAAATAAAAGCTACTGAATTATCTAATATGATTAATAAATATATGTCAATTACTGATTTTGGATAATAAAGATTTGCTAACAATTTTTGTATCTTCCATCAATTTTTTGTTTAATTTCATATTATTTATATAAATTAATCAATCACATTAAGCATATAATAAAAAAATAGATTTCTTCCTATATGCTATATTTTAATTTTTTGAAACGATTATAAATTACTAAATCTATTAACAATCCACTTTGAAATTTTTGTGATTAATGGTTTAATTTTTTTTGTTATAACAAAATATAAATAATCATAAAATCATATAAATATAAAATCTCATTCAATATTATTTAATTTAAAATATATATCATTTATAAAATATAGAAACATTTTAATTTAAAAATTATTGAGTAGGAAGTCCCAATTAATAAATACTGATATTAATAAAAATAATATTTATATTACAGCAAATATTAAAATGTTAATAAAATTAATAAATGTTACTAAAATATACTATAAATCTATGTCAATATCATTTAATTTTAATTATATGCCTTATAAAATAAATAAATGATTTTTGTTTTTTACCAGGAAAAAATATTATAAATAAAAAAGGGCTTGTTTTTATTTATGTGCTTACTTTAATTTAATTATTTACGTAGTAATCTCTCACTTCTCATTTATTCAATATATTTATTATTACATATAACGTAAATAAACACAAAATAAATAATAATATGTATAGAAAAATGTGTACATAATTAATATTCATTTCGCGCAAGCGCAATTCTCATTTGTTATTTGATTATATCATTTCAGAAATATATTTTTCCTATCAAAATAAGATGGTGAATTATAACATTCGGATGATAACATTAAACTCTAATGTATATTAAATTGGTTTTAAAAAACAAATATCAGCAAAAATGACTTTACTCAGCAATCTTATAAATATATTGAAGCCAAATGTAAATTCAATAGGTTAAAAGAGACAAAATATCAACAAACATGACACTACTCATCAATCCTATATTGGTGGCTTGTACGTTTGAGGACTTATGACATAATGGTCTAAAGATGAATATTCAACGATTATTGATATATAAATTTTACTCTGCGCATGCGCGCGGGTAATCACCTAGTTATTTCTTTAAGAGAGAAGTTAATAACCCATGTAAAAGAAGATGTGATTGAAATGGGAAGAATGACTTATTCATATCCTTTTTTGTATCATTTCATATCCAAGCTAATTCTTATACATGCATAAACTAAGTCTATGAATAATCCATCCAAACATACTTTTCAATTATTATTCGTTTGGGTATGAATAAGCCATCCAAATATAGTTAGAGATGGCAATGTTGGACTTAAACCATGGGCATGTCCCATAAAAGCTTGTCGTGGGGCGATACTGAGTTTTGATATTGTAAACCCGTAAAGTTGTGAGACGTGCGGAACATGGTTTATGCGGAATGGACTTTTTGTGAGATGAAATGAACCGAAGTGAGTCATGGAAAAAACAAAGACCCGTAAATATCATTTTTTCACTTCATTTTTCACTGAAAAATAAAGTGAGAGAGAGAGAAGAGGCGATTTAGTTTTTTCATCACTGACAGTAGGACTTCTGGCGATGGAAAATGGAACTTTGATGGTGGTTCTGGTCTTCACGTTACCTTTAGCAGCTATATGGCCGTATGTAATTTCATGTTTTGCAGGCCGACCCACAAAAACTTACATTTTTGGTAGAGCAAGTTTGATCAGCCATTCTAGAGACAGCGGCTCGCGTAAACCTAATCCATCGGACCATCGTGACCTGTTTGAAGACGAGCCCGTTATGATATGGAAAGGATATGACAACATGTTTACATCTCTAAATATAATTTGGATATTAGCGGCTCTCGCAACTAAATTTAAGCTTGCGGTAAAATGTGTGTTTGTTTCGAATTTGACGTAACATTTATGTTTTGGCTGCAACGAATACAACACATACCAGTATATATCTGTCAGTGTGTAGTTGGTCGTTAAAGAGCACTAAATGTATGGTGTGATCTTGGGAGTAGACCAAAGAAACTATTTATACTCCCTCTGTTATGTATAATATTAATTTATTTTGTAACTAAAAGTATAACTTTAAAATAAATATAAATTATACTACTTCTAAAATATCACGTAATAAAACTTTTATAGGATAACCATAAGTGTTTATTGGCTTTGTGTCTTGTCTTAAGCACTTTACTTGCAGCCATGACCACTCACACCCGGATGCGTCAGAAGGACATCATCCTCAAAGATGGCCACCGCGTTGTGGTAGTTGAGTACGATCGCGACCGGGAAAACCGATACTAGAGTCTCCATCTCGGATCCATCGGCAGATGAAGTTGACAAAAACACAAAGAAGATAACGAAACTACTCACTGACGCCACGGAGAGTGGCAAGGCGGGAAGATTTTGTGCTCTTTCTTTATGATTGAGGCGAGTGTAAGTGACCATTATGTTATATTGGTCATTAATAGTTTTATGCTAGAGCCATGTTATATATAAATTATATAGTCTTGTTGATGGGGAGGTAGGGAGATTTTAATGTTAGGTTATATATTGTTGTGGATATATAGGCGATGTTTGAGCGCATGAAAGCAGAACAGGAAGAAGGAAGAAGGAAGAGGAGTAGGAGAAGGAGGAGGAGGAGAGAATGGATGAGCAAGAGGTGAGGCAGAAACTGGAAAAGCTTAAGTGAGAGGCTGAGCAAGCTCAACACATACTCCTCTTGGTTAAATATATTGACGCTCATGTCTCTAGTTTTAAGTTCCGACACATTATCACGATTGAGACCTGAGGGAATATACGGTACCTTCAAACTTTATTAATTTTTCATTCAAACACACAACTACATTACATAGAAAGATGATAAACTCGCAATGCGTTGTAACACATTAATGCATTATTGAAAGTAATTAATTGTTCTTCAATTCTTACACCAAATATTTTGCTTAAACCTATGAAGCATGACAAATCTTTTCTGATGCAGCAGACTTCATCATGCTGAGGGATTCGATGATGAGATCACTAAGGTGATGAGGATCTGGAATCACGTCAGAATCAACTGCAAGGTTGATTATAAGTTTGTCCACATAGCTTTGTACATTGATAATAAGTGCCTTGTCAAAAAAAAGGAGACTTAGTTAAAGATTGCATTTTTGCTTATTGTTAAATATGTCATCATATTGGGTTTCTAAATTTAAAATTATTAGCAAGTAGGTGATTTTTCTCTGCTCATAATTCACATATATAACTATTTACAATATATGTGATTTATAAGGAATGAATAACATTTTTTACCTTTATAAATTTAAATATTTTGTAATGTATATATATAATAGACATCTGTTTTTTTTTTTGCTTCCTTACTTTGAAAACACACAGAAAATCTTCTTGTTACTCCCTATTTGATGAGGACAAAATATGAAGGTTTTGTGTTTAAGGAGAGGTAGTACCTGTGATATACCACAGCTACTTGCAGCAATGTAAGATATTTGATGGCCAAAAAAGCTAATTTTTTCGGCTGGACCAACCACATTTGTGAATATCATTGTTGTGTTATCAAAAACTCTGTTTAAAAGGTTTTTGACTGCCTGCTTTCCACCCCATACATCCAAACACACATTGATTATTTTCAAAAAATAAAAACTAATGAATACATTGCATTTAGAACTATTAATTAGACAATGTTAATTAGATTTTACCTTAATTCCAAAAAACCCCATGATCAATTTCAGCAACCCATAGGAAAATAGAGGTTCGAGGGAAAGTTTTTTACGATCCATAGTAGTTTTGGCTTGTCGAACATATTCAAGCATATCATCCTCTGACTTCAACCACAAAGGAAGTAGAACATAACCTATTGAGTTTCCCCATCTACACTTTGATCCTTTTGCCATCATATTAGCCAAATCCTGTATAATATATTTTAAGTTAGATTGTTAGTATTTCAAACAAGATAAAACGAAGATCGTTAGTGGTATGTTATCTCCAGAACCTCGATATCTTTGTTTGGCCTTAGGTTGAAAAAAACAACCCCATGATGACATATTTTGTCTAGCGCTTTTCTTGTGTCTGAAGTTGTTTCAAGATCTGTTCACAAATTTGAGAATATTCAAGAATAGCTAAAAAAGGTCTTTATGACACTAAACAAGAGTATATTTACCGTATCTTTGATTCAGATATCGTGAAAGACCAGCTTGTACCATTCCAAAAACCACATCATTCACTGTCTGATAAAAAAAAAAGAATAACATAAATATTCAGTATTTCAACAAAAGAAAGTAATTA